TATAAAATCTAGGTATACATCTTAATTGAATTTGTCATATTTCAAGTAAAGTTTTGACATAAGTGGATTCGAGATCTAAGTACGACCGCGTTTTTTCGAAAAAAAAATCAAGTCGCAATGATTTGTTTTCCAGTTACACGGGCGCTCTGTGTAGTTAGCAATCATTTTAATCAACCAGTGTAGGCACAGAAGCTTCATGAGGTTCACCCAGAAATTCTCCAGGGTTTCGAGCACAGACATCGTTACGTGTAACAATAGCGCGTCTTCAGGAAGTTCTTTGGCATGCCTCTTTTCTCTCCTGACTGCACAGTAGTTTAGTGAATAATATCCGATTTTTATGGAGGACGAAGAGAATGAATGGTAGCGATGATCTAACATAAATTACAGTGGCATAAATCAAATTGGCAATGCATTATCTATTCGAGTTGCTATGTTTCTTGTCGATGGGAGATCAGAATGTCAGTAGTAATTAAATGCATCGGTAAGTTCGAATAGTGTTCATAGCCCAGAATAAGCAAGTTTCAAAATTAACTATTGGACCGCCGCACGGAGCTACAGCAATTGGTCTGAGGAAAGTAAAGGTCTACTGAGGTAAAGCATTCTGTCGATTCTCATGAATCTTCATCTTCATTTTCTTTCCGGTAGTTCCGTGAAACAAATGCTTTCCCTTCATAATATAAGCAAGTTAGAAAGTGATTGACATTCCAGTTTGTTTACATTGTGTAACGGAGTACCGTGCTCTGAACGGCAGATGCTGGCGCTGAAGTTCCGGGGATCAACTTCCCTTTGATTTACAAGCAGTCGCTTAAATGTGTACAACATCACATTCATTTACGGCGTGAGAAGACGGTGAGATGACTTTGAGAAGAGCTACCTTGTCTCTATACCACCACAGCAATTTCTCTCTTTGTTTCTTCTTCTATTCGTATTAACGTACTGACCTGGCTTCTCAGCTTATTTCGGATTACGCAGATTCTTATGTATAAGGATCTGCGTATATATATATATCGTTTTACTGAGGTGCCCCCTTTCGACATTCTATTTATCAGGCGAGCCAAGAGCACTTTGCACTCCCTCGGATGAGCTGCCTTCGCTCAATGTCCCTGCTTCTCGGAACGATGCCTGATGTTTCTCCAATAATTGGTTATACTCATGCAACTGTTTGCGATATTCAAGGTAAGCCTGTTGAGCCTCTGGTGTCTCAAGAGCCTCTTCATCAAATAGCTCCTCTAATTCTCCATTCTGTTTCATGTCCTGCGGTAATCAATTACCATGGCATTTATTAATATATACAACAGTAATTAATGGTAATAATTTACTTTTTAACGGATTGGCATTAAGAGACAGTAACACAAGGCCGCATCGATTCGCATATATTCAACTAGATTAGAACCGAATACGCTATGGCTCCAAGTGGTCCATTCCGTGAACAAAAGAATATATAAATAGAGCAAAAAGAACACATATTAGCATACACGTTGTTAATAACGGTATTTTAGATGATCAATACGGCTCTGAGGTTCTAGAAATAAAAAGTTATGATATGAAACTTGAATTTGCAGTGTTTCGTCACTGAAGTTCAGACGGTTGTACTAAGTTTTGAATTACGTCTGTGTCCATTTTGTCAACAGATTCACGTTTGCCTACTTCGTTAAGTTTGAAAAATTAGGGAACGGGACTTTATGAATCAAGCCAACGCGGATTCTCGAATGGTTTTTTAGGAGTTTTACCTTGAAAAACATATCCAGATATCGAAGCAAATGGCACTCGGCTAATAAAAATGGACTTTCTTCCTCCTTATATTTTTGGACAGCATTTGATTCTTTCACACCTAGATTTTGTTGACTTTTGTATTTTGCCGCTATATTGTCGGCCTATGTTGCCGATAATTCACGGGCATTCTGAAACCGAGAAGCGATCGTAAAGCCTCCAATTGATCGACATTTTTCTAGGGGCTTATTTAAGAGGTTGTTTAGGTATCCAAGGTCAACAACTTTCTCTTATCATCCTGTTCGGTGTTTCTGTGTTAAGCTCGTAGCCACACAAGACACAAATACCAAAGGTTGTCACCACCACCGTAGTTCCAGAGCAGAACTTTTATCCGTAGATCCCCAGTGTTACTACTATGTTTGTCTCTGATTTATAACAACGACCCAACAAAAATCACAAATATACGGCTATTATAACAAACTCGCTTAACTGAAGAGCAGAGGAACTCAGCCTCCCATCAAAGATAGCCGCAAGCTGCCGTTTCCTGATGATAAGTATTTGAGATGTTGGCACGTCCCTTCCAATGTTTTATATCATCATCAAGGCTCGTCAACAATTATATAACCAGCGTAGTAAACTGTAATGATCCTAGTGAGTGCAGTTAGGCGAAATTTTTAGACCACGAAAACAAAAAAAGTAGTGTTCTAACTAAATTATTAGCAGACTATTTTCCTTTCGATGACACAATGAGCAAGGTGAGTAAGAGTTTGTAACTTATACTTACCTGCAGCATTTCATTAACTGACCAGAGTTGGCACAACAAGGACAAATCAGTTTGTCTGAGAGCAACCATCTCACGTCGAAGAAGAGTCATTTTTGCTTCTAACCTTAGAACAGGATCTTGATTATCGTAGACGGTCCGTTGACCCCCGGAAGACATTCTTCGAATTCCGTTCGCTTGTTCACCAGTGTTACCGTTCCATCTGCAACGTCGCGCCTATAGGTGTTAAATCAAGGTCGCAGCCTTCTCTCAAAAAGGCAGATATCTGCACTCCTTTGAAAAATAACTAGGATACACGACCAGATCTGCAGCTACTATAACGAGTTCCACGCGTCACGTCATATCGGCGGTGTTAAAAGAGGATAGCATTTTTTACTAGCATTTGAAAATAGTTGGAAGTTAAGTTCTTTGCAAATTCGTTTTTCAAATCATTTCTATTAAAATCTGTTTAGTAAATATCAGTTAGCTCGAAATAACGCAATGCCTATATGTGGATATCATAGTCAAATGATGTAGCATTTGCAGTATGTATATATCCAGTGGAAGATGTGTAGAAGCGCGGGCGAATAGCATGTGCTTCTTGATTTTAAATATTAGACTACACACCGTCAAGAACGCTCATAGAGGTTATCTTTTCAGGCTCATATTGAAAACGTTTTGCTTTTGTAATGGAACGACGTTTTCGCCATCTAGTGCGACTCACCCAGCAGTCGGCGAAGGCGGCCTGTGAACGTGTCTGTTTTGATTGTGTTGCGAATGGCGATTGTCCTTTTCGTCCTGTTGCTGTTGCTGCATTCGGGCACGCATCACGTGCGCACGGCCCATCTCACGTAACTGGTGCGCGTTGAAGTTCAACAGGGAACGGAGGGAACGAGGTAACGCGGGCATTCCAGCCAACGAGGATGGATCCATCCTTGGCACGACACAGAATCTAGACCCTGCATATGTAGTAGATAGATAAACAAAAGTAATTTTCATAGTAAAAAAGGTGGAAAGAGATATTAATAGATACTGAAATTACTTAAATATATTGGTTTGCACTTCTTAAGTTTAGCAACTGGCTCAAAAACCTGGATTTTACTTAGACACGAATATTTATATTAGATAAAGTTGCAGTCGTTATCAATTCATTGGAACAAAAAAATCGAGTATATTTTTGTTACATTACTCATAGATATAGTAACTGGCATATTAGAAAGATTAATGAGAGTGTTCACTGAAAACGGAGCGTATATGATAAGCATTGAGTCAAATGCGCCTGACATTGAACGCGCAGAAGTAGAGCTGATGTTATAACTCTGTTATTGTAACATCGTAACAATTATGTTCATATTATCGGTTGCATCGGATTGATATCGAGTACACTTGTTTGGTGGGCTATGGCATGAATTCGATGTGCGTAAAAAAATAGGTATTATAAAAACTTCTTATAACAAGAAAATTCAGGTTCGAATGCAGACTGAGTAGAGGAGTGCGTCAAGTCCTTAAGATACACTGGTTTAAGATACAATGGTAATCAAAACCTCTTATATCAAACGTAGCGGCCCGAAAACACCAATTAACGGAAGGTTCAATATGTGTCAAGGACATTGCATAACATGGTTACAATCGGGAATACGCGCGAATAATAAGCTCAAGATAGTTTTGTTCATAATACGCACAGTAGAAATCCACCGATTATCTTCGAAATAAAATGAATCGTTCAAGCTCAATATATCTAAGACAAGGTGCTGCTGCTCTAGCTGTATTGCTTACAGTTCGTGCAGCATTCGGTCCAGTCACAAAAGAAACACAATTTTATCTAAAAAAGAGAATTTATGGAAAATGCAACATCTAAAATGTTTACTAAAACTACTAGTGTAGAACAGTGTACAATGGCAATTGCGTTTGTGGGCCAAATTAATTTTATGGTGTTTACGCTGCCGATTGGAGCTTTTACGAGATTGAGAAGAGGTCGTCGTTAACGATCTTTACATCAGATATTTAGAAGGGGAGATAACCGACCGTTAACAGCGACATATAATCAAATACATAGCTTTCATCCAGAAGATTCTATGTTGTAGTTTGAAAAAAAAAAGGGCGGCAATTTCCTTTCGTAAAACGGTGAGATTCTTTCGCTACATCGCGGCATAAAAACAACTGTGTTCAAAGATACATTTCAAATTTTGTCTATAAATACATACGACGCATGTATTCAGGATTGAAACTTCCTGAAACCTTGCTAACAATAATAATTGTTTATTTACCTGTCTTCATGAAAATGGATCAGTAAATCGATGTGTTTTAATGCGATTCCACTTTCAAACTGATTTCCGAAAGTGTATACTGGAAACAGTCAATGCATTGATGATTGCTATAGGCACGCCACGCTTCAGAGAAGTATTGTTACCTCGACGCAAAGTTGGCCATTAGAATAACTGTATCGGCGGGGCAACAGAAACATATTTAATCATTAAAACTGCAGTTCTTTTTTGGTCAAGCATATTCGTTGTTGCCTGATTAAACATGATCTATGTACTTCAATAGTATTGTGCATTGTCTTCGTTCACTTCTCAAAACCATTTCGTTGAAACTATACTTGTAAAGGACAACCGAATAAACGAACAGTTCAGGTTAGTAAAGCGCGAAGTTGTATGATTTTGATTGTATTAAAATTGCCGCAGATGCTCTAGCTGTAATGAGTAGATACAAACAACCTATTGTTCTCTTCTTACCGTGAGGACCGCACCAAGGCGCTACTCAGCTGTTCCGACGGATAACCCTCTTTCCACTAAACTTCGGAGAGAGGTATATGGAGAGGCGAATCTTACAATTTCGAATTCTCTGGCGGGAATTATTCGCTAGTTGCAGGCAATGTGACAGCCCGCAGTACGAAAATAAATTATTGAGATTGCCTCTATGTTGCATACCTATTTCGATAATTTGTTTTAATATCGCCATATTGTTATTGAGTTCTGAAAATTAGAAATCAAATATCACGTATTATCTCTGCACACGCTGAGCTGCAACTGTAAGGCGATATGGTTTGCCTCCACTTTAGCTACTTTGTGCACCGTGTCGATGCTTAAAGCGTTTGTTTCGATGAGATAACTGATTGGCAGATTCACCATAGACAATACTTATCGTAAACAACGACTTCATTAAGTCGCTTTCCTTAGTTATCCTAAAAATATCTCTTGATTCCAATAATCTGAAAATTGGAAATTGTAGAAAACCTTGTCGCTCGCCGAATGATTCTATAAAATAATACTATGCTGCACGTTTCCAGTCTATAGTAAAAATTTGTAAACCTGCTGACTAATTTTGAAGATAATAATGATATTGTCTTACTGTGGGTAGATCTTTAGGGTACATTCAGGATAAAGAAATCTTCCTATGACATCTCGCTCCTATTATTACCTACTATATTATATTACCTACCTACTATATATCCCATTATTACCTACTATATTTAAATATACAAGTGTTTTGAAATTAGTAGAGTATCTTAGTATAGGATACTCTACTACGATAAATTAATTTTGCGAAACCCGATGGAATGCTCTAGACCTTCAGAATATCGTGAATTGATATGTGTTTAGTCATGTAATCTACGGGTATTAATTGAAATGGCTTTGACCTATTTAGAACGTATAGCGTTCTTAACTTATTTTTATTCGAATAGGCACAGAAATTTATATTCTATGCATGTTAATCTATAGTTACCTAATATGAAGTATACCTTTCTCATAATCCTATGCCTATGTCGTTTCTCATGAATTTTCAGTTTTTTTTTTGTCTAGAAAAAGTTGCAAAATTCGTAAGGTAGCAACTACACAAAAGTTGTCAGCAGCAATCATCGTTATGTACCCTTCATCGCCTTGCGCGTCGACTATGGGTTCATGATCCAGTAGTCGATGTCGTTTGCTGATCCATTACCAACAAAAAAACACGAAGCAGTGAAGGACCTTGACTGTGTCCCCTAAATAACAAAACTAATTAATACCAAGACCTTAATGATATAATTTTATTGCGCGTCCTATCAATAAATTGCTATTTTGAGAAGATCACCGACCTATTGTACTACAAATGAAAGGAAGAATAGCCCTAGTTACAATTAAAAACGGTAAGCCACCTTGGGCAAGTCGATAATACAGTACAATACTTCAAGATATAGTTTATTTATAATATATATATATATATATATATATATATATATACAGTTTATAGGATGCCCACCTTCTGACTTAAATGTCTCTAACTCATCATGCTTGAGTTGGCTTCAGTTAAAACAATGTGTATGTAGATGGAGACAGAACTATACAAAAAAGAAAAGCAACGATAGAAATTCACTAGAGTACTATTTTGTCCTAACGTGCAATAAAGCTCTTGCGGAGCTTTAAGATGACCCATGGCAGCGAAGCTCCAGCAGATGGCCTGATCCTTAACTTTCAGCATAATGCCCTTGTTTCTCCAATCATACTCAGTTGGCTTGGGTTGATCGTCAGACCTCTTCATTGGGAACGGCAGAGTTTTATTAAGGCCTTCTGCATATTTGCGTTTGCGGACGTGCTTCAATTGATAATGGTGCCTATAGGATAGATGGTTAACAGCTAGTACATAATCAGTGTTTTTTTGTTCTATTGTTGTTGTTTCCACGCTTTTTGCCTACTGGTATTTACAGATAATTCTTCCGATAGCGTTGAATTGTTTGTAAGCTTAGATATTATATATGTTTATTTTCACAAATACATTCCAAGCTACAGCAGAGTGCGACCCTCCCACATGGCGGTTTGTTTAGAGCTGGTTGGTAGATTATGACAGAAGCGAGATCCGTGGGAATAAACAACAGGGAACGTGTTTTGAAAGATCCGTTACTTTCATGATATCTGGATGTTACGGTAACTGATATATCTAAATGAAACAATCGCACATAGAAACAAATGCTAATGTACAGAAAACAACGTGCACATTGACAAAGGCAGTACCTTGACGTGTGCAATACTCATGCTTGTTGAGCTGGCCTTCATAGTGTTTCACAGACTCGTCCATTGGATTGAAAAATTGCTGTTTAAGGAGTCTGGAGTCGTTAGCGTAAGGGATGCTTTTGCCAACCTTCGTAACCTCGATTAAATCACAGACTGAAGCATCTAATATATCAGAGGCAAACTTTGTATAAATCAGATTATATACCGCACGATACTCGGCGCGTTTCACAAAAAACAAAATAACTAATTTGTGTTATTTGTTCATCTTGACATAAATCATAAATCTCCAATATTCAGTAACATTTGTAATTACTTTTTTGTTACAGTAACATCTGCACATATTTGGGAATATTGGCCAGTGAATTACTATACAACAGAATTAAACAGAAATAGAACTATTATTTTTGGTAGTTGCTGGAGCAGACATAGACACTCACTACAAGGCTTTCAGGGTTAGGTAAGGTAGACTGAATAGCCACGGGCTTTTATCAGTCGAATTGTGCTGGTAGCACACAATCTCGGGAATATGGGTCGTTTCATTGGGATACGGTACAATCTGAAATTAGACAAGAATGCGTTCATTTGGCGCAGTCCTTTAACCCTATCCTTATTATATTTCTTACTTAATTTGTACATTTTCAGTTGCACGCCTCTTCTGACAATGAACCGTTCGCGTTATATGATAAAAGCAAATGTTATGTAAGTACTAATAACTCTCCATAATTAACCATCATTTATAGAAAAGAAACAAAATTAATAATCCTAATATGCCCAATATTGGATGTAATGCAGCAAATTGCCTCTCAATTGAAGGGAAGTTAAGAATAGAACTCCATTACGTTCATTGTTGCCCTTACGAGTAGAGCAAATACCTGCATAGTCACACTGTTTTTGACACACTTGACGTTAATGCAGTCAGAAAGTAGATGGTCCAAAAGTGTCCATACTCTCGCCCTGTATACAGGCCACCTAATTAAAAGGTACGTCACATCCCACGCCAAGTACAGATACATAGCATTTCAGGTATGTTACAGTCTTGTGCACATAGTACTTTGAATATGGGGCTTCGGTTGATTGGCATCGTAGTTAGTCGTCAAAGATCCAGTGACGTCGGCCTATGCTAGCAGGATACAACTTTTGGCCTTGTAGCCCACCCAGATGTTGACAACGGCAGCAACGACGGAAGATCATTGCGAAACGCTGCTACGCTCCCACTCCGAAACATTGTTATGCCGTTGTTAAATACGCCTTAGCTTAACGAAACTGTCGCAAAGAAGGTAACAAGACAAATATCTCTCGAATGACCGACATCCATGAAGCTATTTAAGTGGAACTCAGAATAAAGGTGCGTCAGGGAAAATAGATGTGAATAAGAAAGCATTGTTTCGAAAAATAGGCAAGTGTATTTAGGAATTGGACCGGCTACATGTTTTTTGGGGAGAAGAGGGTTTGGACCATAAGGCTGCTACGTTACTCGCTGATGGTCTCAGAATCATCTTATTTGCATCGTTATTTGATTTTCTTCTAACCGATGGCTTAATGTATAATGCATAATGTTAATTAACTTCCCGGATGTCAACAAGAACTCTAAATAATATGTTCGAAATAATGAACCTCAAGAACGCTAAGATTCGCATTTATCTGTAGTCCGCTTACAAGAAATTAACAATGTTCTAGTCAATCTATAAGAAACTGCAAGCACCGTTTATAGATACTGTACTAATTTACCTTACCAAGGTACTGCAGTGCCAAGTACCGTCTTCAAACGACCGATAAGCCTGGCTATCTTTAACTCTATATTGAAGATACGAGAACATACAAGCTATTTTTATAGTATATATTGTGCGTTGAACTCCAGGATCGAGCAATAATGGTGCAACATCATGTGATTTCGTATGATTTGACTTATGGAATATTATCGAAATGAGTAGTGCCATTTTGGCAATGCCGAGCAACCTTGTTCCGAAAAACGCTACATCCTAATTATGTTTTTTTTTAGTCGCGTTGAGCTGGCTGTTACAGGTAACAATGTTTTAGAGACTCATTGATTCTTCCAGTCTCAAGATAGACGCTCAAGTCGGAAATAACAACGGGCGTTCGGTAAACGATGTAAATAGAAAAAAAAACATATACGTAATAATACTACATTTTAGCGGGTAACAACTGCATTCTTGCGTCGAAGCAATCTATATTGCCTTCTGTAGTAAATCTGCTAGCTCGCGGAATTGACTTTTCAGGATGGACCAATATCTAACTCACAATGGGCGTATAGGGTCACACCTTACCGCAACCGTAATTTGTGTCTACGATACTTACAGGATGTTGTGAGCGTTAACTCCTAACACACAGGATTTAGACTAATAATAGACGTCGGCTCATAAGTTGTCTATCTGTAATTGGCCGTCCATTTAGAAAACTGTGAGAATACTGGCCGGGTATCTAACGCAGAATGGTATGATTTTAAACTGTCGTCGAGCTAAATTTGACAGTCATTGTCCGATACTAAAACTAGTGATCAAACTGAAATAGCCTCAAGAGGTCGCTTTTTTACGTGCACTTAGCACGGCAGGCGCTACACACTGCGCGATCTAGATCTTTCATTTGCCAGTAAATATCAGGTCAAATGCCAAGTGCTTCATTCTGAACGTACGAAGTGTTTCGAAAACGTACAAATCAGATAAACACAGGAGAAAGGCCGAATGCTTCGACTTCAGTGCTATGGCTGAAATAACTATTCTCTATAATGAAACGTTTTGACAAACTAAACAGTTCAGCTTAGCATATTGCAGTACTATTTGTCATCATTTATTATGGATACCGTAACACGGGCTAGTTGGCGTCGGCCAAATCTTCAAACCCTATATTTGCATTTGGGGAAGAAGTTATTCTATATATATCTTTTATAGACTAAGTCTATAAAAGATAAGGAAAACACGGCTCAACGACATACTGTTAAAAAAATGAAGATACCGGTTTATTTACAACAGGTTAATTAGTATCTGCGTGTTCCTATGTGCTTATATATCACTTCAATCTGGCAACGTCGCTATACATAATCGACCCATAAGCAAATCTACAGCAACTGACACTCTATTATTAGTAACACGCCAGCTGTAGAAGTGGTCTAAATCGTACACATTTGCCCCATGCTATCCCACTTTTGGACTTTATGGCTCATTTTATTAGAAATTCACTGATGGAAAAACTCAGCCAATCATAAAATTTTCAATGACTTAGAACAAAGATCGTCTCTTACTTGTTCACCTGAGTTGAGTTCCACTAAGAATTCAATTAGAGATTCTGGTGCACCCTCGTCGCCGTTTCGGCGACACTTCGTTAGCATTTTTCAACTAAACTTACGCATTTGTTTTTATGATTGAGACGCTTTTTTTTGGACAACATCGTTCACTACTTTACCGTCATCATAGTCTCCATACTTCATAATGATATTATTATTATCATTTTCATTCATCACATCATGATCATAACTAACAATAATAATAATAACATTTATCATCGGTTATCTTTTTACTATTATGCTAGTAGTATGTTCTTGGTGTCCATCTTACGTTTCCATTTGTGTTTTTATGTTATTACTATTAATGATGTATTTATTTTCGCTTGTGACGCACTTATTCCAAACGTGTTTCTTATTTGTCATAGAATCTACCCAATTCGAAGTTAACGTCCGGACGTGGGTAAGGGTTGGCGAGAACGTGTTGCCAGTAGGTAGCAGGATCAGGCTTAGGGATGGCGTATTTGTCCAGGACTGGTGTGAGCTTAGCGCAATAACAAGTATAGCTGCACCTAATGTAAGCTGGATAAATTTGAAGAAGTTCACATCAGTTAGCAATAATGTGCTGGACCAGGTTGGAGTAAACCAAGGCAAAGGATAGCTGATATAGCACGAGCCCATGGGAAGAAATGCATACTGAAAATAGATTTTTTTAATACTTCTTAGGTAGCAGTGTCACTACGTGTACACGTTTATTATACGGAGCTGTCGCCTCATTGCCGTTCATGCTATGATGCCCTTCCTTGTAAACGACACATCTTCAGTAAACGATTTACATCTAAAATTAGTAATATGAAGAGAGCTGAATAAAAACTGTCCGAACGATTAACTTCACGACTGCAGCTTTTCTTGGCAGCTCTAACCCGTATGCATGCCGCAGACAATAGCGATCCCAGAGGGCTTTTATTTGCAGTCACCTCTTGGCTGCTGTTTGTCTTAGTCGATCGGTGAGGTCCAAAGGAGCTGCTGTCCAATCGGTCTATTTCTTCAGCTGATCATTCTTTGCCCCCGAAGTCATATTTTTCAGCTTGCGCTTGTTGATAACTTTGATCGTTCTATTTTGTACTCTAATAAGATCCCTTGCCGGATAGGGGCTGGCCGAGGCTCGACCAGAGGATACCTCATATTGCCGCATATAACTGCTGTGGTTTGTAAAAGGAACGGCGACGAGCGGTGGCGGCAGTCTGCTCCTGCTGATACCTCGCCAACCGCACGCTTCGTCTATGCTACCACTGACGGCACTTCGACATGGCCCCAGGAGGAAGTCAACTGGCAATCTATATCGCCAATATAATAATGATATAGAAATTTTTATATGTGTCTAATAGCATCCGGCATCGGATCTTCGTACTCCTAACAAAAAGATGAGGCTGTCCCATAGTGTCGACTAAAAAATTCTTAGCCGGTGATAATCTCGTAAGTAGCACTTTTTGTGTAAACAGACAGTTCCCTCCTGGGTTGTTTGTGGCATTCGCTCTGACCATTTTTGTTTCTCCTCAGGTAGAGGGTACCTACTATATAATAAGATATGTTTATGTGTATGTATATATACAGTATGCGAAAAATCTTGGCTGCAGCAAGAAACTAATATTTTATAGTACTCACTGAACTCTATTAGTTTATGGTAGATATTGATGAAAATCTATATGACTGGAAGAGTGTTATCAATTGCATAATTCATTCTTATACTAAAAATGTATTTTTTTTTGTCCTAGGATATGGATTACCTTTTTTTGTAGATGGCTACGAACTTTAACTCAAAACGATAGACGAGTATTCTGGTATGGCCTCTAGAGACAGCCACTAGGCCAGTAATTTTGCCTGATTCTTAGGTGTAGCTGGAAAAGTTTTCCAACCTATCATATTGAAATGTTTTTGGTAACAGCAGGGTACACATATACCCAATAGCCCCAACGACATATAACTTAGGCCCTTCATTTGCTTCAGCTCCCAATTACGTCAATTACTACGCCATTACGGAATTACATGAAAATATTTTGAAGACCAAGATTTTTTGCGTAATGCACAGAAATGCATACACACCTTTATCTAGGTCCATGTATTATATATATGTATGTATATATATATATATATATATATATATATATATATATGTATATATATATATGTATGTATATATATATGTATGTATATATGGATAGATGGACCAGAATAAGATTACGGCTATTTAATTTGCCTTATTGTCTACGGGGGGCTATTTTGATTTTACAGTTGATTTGATCACAAATTTGGCATAACGTTTTGCTTGTTCAATGTTTTCGTCCGTAGACATTTCTGTGGCCTAGAACCTTAACTTTACTCCAAATATTGATTTTATTGACGCAATCAATGGGCGCTCATGCATGTAAATGTTTGTCTACATCTTTCCATACCTATACACACATGCACATTACTACACAATCAGAAATGCATACACACACATATACATATAAAGGCATACATGTCCTCATTATACTAATTGTTATGGTTAACAGTGGGAGTTCATTTCCAGTTTAGTGGAAAATACCAGTACTTTGTGTCTAAACGGACAAAAAAGGAATCACTTGTCGACGACCCATAAAATAACGACTTTGCAGGCGAAATACATAAACCAGAAAAAGTGTCTTAGGCCTCCTTTTTATAGTTATCAATACATTTGGTAACAAATGAGTGAACTTAGAACTATCGATAATCGAACAGTTATAGTTCTGCGATATATTTGACTCCGATAAACTTACGCATATATTAATACAAGAATGAAATAAATAAAGAGTGTTTTTGTTGTACTTATACGCACATGCGTGTAAATAAACGGGATGCTTGTACAACATTGTACACTATACAAACGATCTATACACACCCACACATATATAATGCATATGTATGTGTGTATATATAATGTCTTGTATATTAACGCACGTAGACATATATATCGCTACATCGAGAGGGAGGGGGGAGAGAGAGACACGCACGTAAGCTCATGCAAAGCTGCTACCTCATTCGCGGTAGATGTTAAAAAAGATCTTAAAAAAAGTATTTGAAAATCGCATCATTTGTAGATGTGTCTTTCATGGTAGACAGTGGGCCCAGTGGCCCGGATAGAATATCCAAAACAAAGCAAAAATGATCTCGGGTGTGAGCTCGATTGAATCTTATCAATTATAAGGTAACTGATGGCCGATACGAAAAGCTATGGACATTTTTGGGTGTTTTTTTTTAATGGATAATGATATATGAGCCATTGGCTACATCAAGCCAGAGTAAATTAAACCTCCCGAATTCGAGGATGATTTTTTATGGATTTTTCAGTTAATTCTTCTCTATATAATCACCTGTAAGATTGACTGGGGGAAGTGGATCAGGAATTTCGAAATTTCTCTTAATTGCATTTATTTTCTAATAAAACCATCATTAGTTTATAAATACTGGCGAAGTAGCAAATGAAATTGCGGATGTATTCTTGTATCTATATCTACACATATAATCACACGCATGTATATATAATCGTACAATTTTATATGACTCTTTTTTATCTATCTCGCAATCGATCATAGCTTGCATGCACCATACACAGCAGACATGCGTTTACAACAAGATATATATAGTTCTAGTCTTCATAATCGTCATATATTTATATACTGAACATGAGGCGACGCAGTGTCTCATCTATCTATCTATCTATTATAGTACGTCACCCCATCCATAAGCTATAACTTGCTAGAACTTAAAACATTGAAACGTGTTATATAAAATGTGGAAGACTTTAATTTCAGGAAGAACGGTTACGTTCGGCAAATTCGCACGTTAAACGATGACTACAGCGAACGTAGCGGCGTCGCACGAATCGACTGTATTTTTTGTATACGATTTATCGATTCTTGTTTGTTTATGCTTTTACGATTACGTAGCCTCGCGAACGAATACTGTAACTGTTTCCATTATTTTAGATTTGTATTAATACGCAACACTGATGGGTACCAAGCATTCTGTGGGGTATCGTTAATCGGTTCGGATACTTAGCTTGTTAGCTGGGTATTACACGTACTGTCTCACTCACAGACAGACAGCGTTTTCCGGATTCGTGCCATTTGGCCCATCCACCCTGCTCAAGTCTGTGCTAAGCAGAAGCCGCGTTTTATAACGATACGGGGGCAAAACCGGCGTCGATACACCCGATGTGTTTAAAAACGCTAGGTAAATCCGGCTGCATTATATCGCACGGTTCGATCATCACTGATCTCAACATCTGTGTGAATGACGTTAGGAACCGAATCCTCTAGTAGCAGTAACATCACGTAACTGCACGTCTAGCCTTTTTTGCAGATCTTTCTTTTTGGGATTTGCCTTTCATAACGTGTACCACCCTACCCTACCCTACCCTACCCTACCCTACCCTATCGCTTATAAGACGATCGTCTGTTACTGTTATGTTAAGCACCAACTCAGTCTGTAACAGAGGCTTTCTAAATGAACCTAACGAGCTACATCGATACATAAATTGCCATGAGTTTGCTTCGAGGCGATTTTTCAACGATAACATTTTGTAATTCATCGGCTTGCCCACGGTGGTCTGACACATTACGGTATCGTCTCTACGAAATATGTATAAAACATTGACTGTGTGTGCATGCTGGGATTTGAGACCCGTCTTGCTTTCATCCGTTCATAACCAACGGGTTTTTTTTGTTCTTATTAGCGTTCAACGCAAATGACAATGGACGCCTGTTGTTCTGCTTTCGTCGTTGGTTTGCGCTACCGATGACTTTTTTCGATGGTGCTATATAATACTATGTGAATATCTGCTTTATATCTAATGGTAACAAACAGATCACTCATACACTTTCAGCATTAACGTCTCCTATTGTGTGCTTACTTACTTGTCAGAAAGTATATATATATATATATATATATATATATATATATATATATATATATCTATATAGATAATAATCGTTAAATGTAAGTTACTTTCCGGTTATTTGATTTGGTGATTGGCTGGTACACGGGGATTAGTGTACATAGTGTACAACGTCGTGGATAGGATCAGATCGGATTAAGGCGGAGTGCTAATGGTCTGTAGGTAGGATCAAGGTTCGTATTACAAAAGTGTATCAGTATAGTGCCTTGGATACTGCTCGATCAGAGAATAGTGTGTTGACGGTATACAGCATGACCCATGAACTGGATGGGGGTCGACGGGGAACGAAATAGGTAGGGAGGGCGTAACAGGGAGTTCCGCATTTATCGTCATTCTTTGTTCTATTTCTGTTTGTCTCATATAGCCAACCTTTTCGATTTCTTTCTTCTAGATCCTTTACGATTTTCAATTCAGGTCTTCACATCAGCAACACCGCTGTTACGAACCGCAGGTGTTTTAATTTAAGAGGTGATCAGAATAATAGGTTATCAACTGGGTTGTTCATCGGTGGATGGGTATGGGTACAATTGTATCATTTAATGCGTGACCAGAAACGTTCGTTTGAGTAATGTTACCATGATATTATCGTTCCCTTCCTCATCATTCTTATGTAGTAGCGTAATAAATATTGCACACGGTATGAGTATTGGTTATTAATTAGCTGACCAGTTCGTTGCTCGTCGCCACATTCGTCATCATTGGATATCTCGTCGTCGATCTGCTCACGTACGATAAAAGCCAAAAACTTGATCGAAGATTGAATGGATACAACGTATCTCAGTCCACGAAATTCAGCGGTTCGCTGAATCTTCATTTGCTTTCTTTCTCTTGCCATTCTTTGTTTGTTTTTTACTTCGTTCCATGATGGACTGAGCGGGCTTTAAGTAAAAGAGCATGCTATAGGGTACCTTCTTTTTTCTTTAGGGCTGTGCTTTTGCTTTTATTTGTTGTGTATTTTGTCGGTTTATAGGGGCTACTGCTAACTTCGCAGACGCTCACCTTTTACTATGTTATTGTTATTCTTGTCTTTCGTTCGTTGTTGACGGGTTGTTACAGCAGAACATAAACGGGCTTTGACAACCGTTGCTTAGCCTGCCCAGGAGTGCCACGCTTCCTAATCGTGTCGACAATAAAGATAACGAACGGTAATGGCAATAATTATTCTGGCACGAACGAAGGCTGCAGTGGCGCTCCTCCTGAACGTAGTTTGTTCCTTGTCTTTTGTTTGATTATCCATTGAGGATGTCCGACGCCGTCCATAGCTGTGTTACCATTGATGTACTTGACATAAATCATCTGTGGCTCGAGAGAAGTAGCTTTATAATTACGCGTATGTTCTCTCGACTACTGCCGTTTATACAGTATAGCCTTCATTTTTGCATCTTCTCGCTTCTTTTTCTGCGTAACACAATTACTATTAATGAATACTTTAATGTGTACCATTGCTTTGTATCTGGCCATCGTCATATCGTCAAAATATTATGTTGTGGGGGGTACTTGCTGCTTCCGTTATTTCTTAATATTCGTGCAGAGTTGTGATTTGTTATGAGTAATATACTACGACAGTATAATCCTTGTACTCGATATGCGCGACAATATCATTGTGCTGCTGCTGCTGCGACTGCGTATGTATTCCGTGCACCACGCCAAGTACGTAGCGTGCAAAAAGTGGGTGATATGGTAGCGGTATAATGTTAATATGAATCTTCATTATATAGTAGTCAGATAGTAATAATATTATTAACAGTAACCGTATATAGTATATAGCAGTTAGTTGACTGTGTTGTTATTACTAAATTTATTGTCGGTGTCTTTCCTTTAGTTCACCATTATTATGGATGACGTTGTTGCTGCTGCTGCTGCTGCTGCTGCTGCTGCTTTTTCTGTTGGGCATCAAGCGGCGGTGGCGGCGGCGGTGTCCTGCTGAAACTCCGAAGGCGATCCCTCGTAGGCCGTTGAAAGCGAAGTAGCCGTGCGCACTCGAGCCGTGGTTTCAAGACCAAGCTGCATAGCGGTAGTGGCCCGTGCAGATGCTATTATGAGCTTTTTCTGGCAGCTGTCCAGCAACGCCAGCCACTTGATTTCGTAGCTGTGGCCGCTGAACTGTCAAACTCGTGTGCGTTCCTAACTCTGCCGGCCGGCGGGCGGGTGGCTGGCTGTGTGGGTGTACGGGTGCACAGTGCTCTGTTCGGCCCCCAAAACGACCCCCAGGGGAGCTCTAGTTGGAGTGTAAGCGGTCCCTTCTTTACCTATTCCGTTTCTCTATATTTCGTCTTTCGTCTTTTTCGCTCCTGAGCTGTCATTCTCCTTGGCTTTTGTTCTATATAATGGTGTAACACTTTGCGGCATTTATGTCAGTCTCTGTTTTTCTGTTTGTGTCTTACGGTTAGGATGGCGTTCTCCGACTTCTAGCCTAAAATCCCTACTTCGCTACAACTCGCTAAATATGTTTGGAAATTAGGGGCTAGCAACCTGTTTTATAGGATTCTGATCGGCATCTTGATGTCGTCTTTGTGTTGTTGTAATTCGGTGTTATATTTAGCCTTTTGTAACTATTTTCTCTTCGTTCGTATCTGTACCTGTGTGGTCACATTGTGTGAACTTTTAGGAGCGTAAACCACGCATTTTATCGTTTATCTCTCTGGTCCATTTATGTTATTTATGACAGTACGATGACATCGTTTGTTATGGTTATAGAGTTTGGGGTGCTCCCTACATTTCTATTAAAATTACAATACTTTTGTTTATGATTTATAAATATACTGCAATTCTGTGTTGTTGTTTGAGCAAATCGCCAGCTACGACCGTTACTTCACTTAACCTGACTGAGTGCGTACCTCGACGCTGCTGGCTGCAGACGATTGTTTTACATTGATTTTTATTTGTATTTCTCTTTGATTTTAGGCTATGATGTCCAGGATTACTTCTCATACGATTAAAATTAACCGAACTAATCAGTGTGACACAAAAGCTAGGCTAGGGTTTGTATACGAGGAATCTATTGGATACGGCTGTGCTTTAACGCATAAGAGATTTTTTCGCAGTAAATTCCTCTCTCCGACGAATTTCTTTACTAACTCTGAGCTAATTGTTTCCGTGTCTATATACTTCTATCTACATCCTTGGAAGACGTCTGTGTGGGCGAGTACTTACGTCCACCAGTGCGGGAGATTCGCCATAGAAGGCCCGTCATCAGATAACGTGAGTTGTTTAGGACGACTCGCAAACATGTTTGGTAATATATATCTAGGTGATAATATTGTATGTAACTAATATATGTGTGATTTTTAGGCGTATATTAAAACTGCGTGTGTGCGTGCGCGTGTACCACCATATGCTAATGATGCTGCGTTTGTCTGTATAGATCTTTGCGTTTGTGTACGTGCATATAGGACTAAGAAACGCAAATGACCATATCGCAATGGAGGTGTTGATTTCATAGGGAACTAGTGGAAGCTGAAGCGCACATCGATGTGCAGCGTATCTTGCAGCAACAACAACAACAACAACCGCAAGGTAAGGTCTGCCGTGGTTTCCGAGGCTGGCATCTAAGGCCACCAGGACGAACAGCACGAGCCTAGTCGTCACATCATTTATCCGGCTGCTTCTCCTCAGAACACCAGCCATTAACCGTTCGCTTTTTTGTTTTCGACACTCCCGATCATTAACCTGTGCAGGTGCTTGTAATTCATCAAAAATAGCAAATACTGGTGTTCTAACTCTTATATTTCCTATTCTATTCTTTGTTTAATCACGTAGTGCTGACAATAATCGTATTTGAAGCTGCAATAGTGCAGGTAACAGTAATAGTCTATGGACATATTCATTGGCCGTAGTCCCCTGCTTCGTCTTGTAATTTCGCGGTCCGTGTTCTCCTTTGCAGTTAGCTAGCCCGCCATCGAAGATATTGTCTTTATTTGTTGCTCTGTGTTAGCGTTTTTCTTGTTATCTTCTAGTTAGTTTTTTAAACTTCTTTCTGCTTTCATTATATCCGTCATCCATCAACATGTATATGTGTATGTGTGTGTGTGTAGAGCGTGTGTCAGCTGTGCTGCTGCTGCTGCAAGAATCTGAACCAGGGTCGTTGTCTACTCACTCAGTCAGAACTTCGTTCGTTTTGGTAAGTATTTCTTCAATCGAGACCAGGCTCAACTGATGATAACCCTCGGGTGGGAATCACCATCGTAACCATTACTATGGTTCATCATTGCGAGTCTCATGCAGCTTGAATAGTCCTGATGTCTGCGTTATGCGGTCTGTAGATCTCGTGCCCACTGCGCCCGCCTTGAAGAAAAGGTTGCCAAACCCTGCCGGCCAAAGAAGGCGCTTGTGAACAGATTTGCTGGCCGTGTGGTGGCGCTACTTGTCAATTAATAGCATTTATTCACCGATTTACTCATTAGTTGATTAATTACAACGCATACCACGGTTCTCGCAATACGATACGTAAATATCCTATTAGGTACTACTGTAAATGTAACATTTCCCGTTAGACGAACGATTCGACCTACCAGAACGCGCGAGAACAAAAGCTTCCGCACCGTTGGCGGTGTACGCTCGCGGTCGGGTGTTTGTCCGATTGGACTAGTGGCAATCGTCGAACAAATGGCTGGCACGAGGTTTTAAAGGAAGCTAATGGCCAATGGCGCCAACCAAGCGCAAAGAATGGCCTGGACCTATAATTCTGGATCTGTCAACAATCAATTTTTTTTTCAAACTAAATTTTCAAAATCAACTTCTGATCAAAAGCACCCCTGCAACGGCGCAGTACCAACTACGTCGGTAGTATCTAATTGTTATTACTGTAACTTTTATCACTATTGTATATAATTGCACATGATGGCCTATAAGTTGTTATTACCAATTACATATACAACTAACCCTGCTCTATATCAAATATGGGATTTTTCAACAGACTTGAGCATCATCGGTAAGGTCGACATCGCACATCCGTAGCCACTTGCTCGTTTATTACTAATAACCAAGTAAGTTTTAGTAAAACTTACTTGGTCTATATCATGATAATGAATGGACAATAGAATAAAGAACGGACTGAAGCGTTAATAGCAACAACAGCAACGGGTGCGAGAACAAATAGCCGGGCTCGGAATAGATGAAGAGGCGCTAGAACAAAAGGACGAGCCTTGGTGCTCCGACTTCTCTGAGGACATCATCAACCGAGAACCACAGGCAGTTGGCTAAGGGCCCACGCAAGCAAAGAAATCTGTCTGCGACGACTGTTGCTGCGCTTGCAGCTGAGTTGTCGTTAGTTTGGGCGGTCGGCTCGTTGCCCTTGTCTAACTTTCGACGAGGCCTCGGGCTTTCCCTCAGGGAGAAGCCGCGAGGCTGGTTAAGCCAGTATCATCCAACCAAACGAATAGATAGGTCCAGAACGATCCAGGCGACCACGAAAGCAAAGGGGATCCACGAACACTAATGGAGCACAGTAGGTTCCGCGTACTTCACGTCGGAGATCCTCATGTAGATAACCCAGTACATCAGGTTGAAGCAGACGAAGCACACGGGGAATACGACTCGAGAATATTTGTCAATGTCACTCGGATTGACCCCGCAAAGCTTGTTCGGGTTCTGTAAAAGGACCGACTCCACGCCCGGACTTAGAAGCGCTCCCCCGCCAATACTGCCGCCGCCAATAGCATCCGGCGAGAGTGACGCTTTACGAGATACCTTAGAGTCACATTGGTTCAGACCTCCCAATCGCATCTCATCCTAGAATGTCAGCAAAAAACGGAGCAAAAAAACAGTTAGAAATCGCTGGTTCCTCAAGCTTAATGCATACGAAACAACTTTTATACTTTGACAAGTTTTAAACTTTGTTAGAGTCCAGAAAGTTTTATAAACAATGTGTACTGAACAATAAGTTATACCTACGTCTGCATTTGACTAAAGCGACTAACGATCTACATACATGATAACTATTCGAATTGACTGTATAAGTATTTGTCGATAGGATGTTCTAAAACACATTACGTCAAAAGATGATTTTAATTTACCGACTACCTACCTAATTGAAATACAGAAGCAGGACTATGTAGTACTTCACCTCTTAGACCTGTCTATGTTTTGGCGTCAACGTTAAGGACGTATATAACAGTACAAATATTGTGCCTACTGCGGAGATAATGCGAATTGCTCTTAAACCTCGTCAAATATAAAAAGTAACTGATTTTCCAAATTCAGTAGTTTACCATAACACGAGTTTGCTAGGTTATGCGTTCCTTGCTGCTTAACGCATAGAACATAAAGATATCTGTCAACTGTATAGGTACGTACATACAAGCAACGTTAAAAAACTCTGCACACGTACACATCACAGCTATTATTACTGCCATTGACGAGGGTTTCTTGCGGTTATAAGCCTTAGGCCGATGCTGACTAGGCAACTATATACCTATAACGTGATCTGTGAAATATGCGGCCCTAGAGTGCCATCGTACTGAAACAATAGCACAATTGCTAGAGTCGTCTCTTGTTTGTTCGGCTCCTGGCTCTATGAGATTCACTGCTGGCTGAGAACGAATATGTCCGAGCATGGGGTAATTCGGTTCAGCCAGTTGAAGCTACTACATAAAAGATAAAATAGTTAAACACGAATAGATATCCATGAAACGAAGTTTTTCCTAGAAATAAATGAGAGTAAACGAGCCTAATGATCCGTAAGAGAGCTACGTTGTAGGCAGAGAGATAAGAGAAAGAAGGCAGAGCATAAAAGTATTCGATTATTGAAAAGGCGACCAGAAGGTTACCAAGTTCTTCAAGTTCCGAACGTGCATTATACAAAGCCGATGATTATTCGACAAACTCATACCGACACATATTGATTTCTGACTTAAGCAACTCTATTGTCCAAAGAGAACTAACCTTGTAATTACGATAAAATAAGATTAATTTGCTTTTTCATTGACGGCTTCCTCTAATTCCGCATTGCGTCACGTCAAAGCGCCTTAAACTATTCGGTTGGAGGGTAGGTTCTGCTGTATGGCTAATACTTCAGATACAGAAATCTGAGTGTAATTTTAATGACACGATCATTTGACAAGAGCGTTTACCTGAAACGTCCTCTTTCAGCCAGTGTTCGTTTGATTCAGGGCGCTTCAGGGTTTAAAGTATTAAATTGGCGCTGACACTGCCTCTTTTATGCGGTAAGCATAATTTCTGGTACGTACATTACGAGTGGAGTATGTTTGAAAAATTCCTTTGGTAATTTTTTACATTACGGTGTCATTAATCCTATTAGAAAAATTTGTAATTGAAATAAAAAGCAACGTGAACGAAACGTAAACAGTTTCGCTGCTGGAAAATCAAACGAAGTATCACTCCGGAAGCTGGACCAAAACGTACGTATTTATCTGTGAGCATGAGCTCAGCTCATGGACGAAGCTCATAAAAGCTTCTTCTTGAAATCAGTGCTAGAATTCGATTGAGACAATCTGTCCCGCAGCATAATCAGAAAGCTCTGAACATATGCTCTAGTGTAGCTCGGCAGGCGGCGACTCCTTATCTACAAACGATCGCCTGTCTGAACTTGATGTTTCTTCTATGAGTGGCAGTATGCTGCGACTTTGCAGGTGCGCATTGCACTATCCTCCTGTACCATAAATAGCGAGATTTCCTAAATAGAGAGGTTTTAATTTTAGCTATATTTGAAAAAAACTGATCTAAATATTAGCTTGTTAGGATAGGTAAAATAACATCCAGGCGCTGTCGGCAATCAGTGAGAAGTTTAGTACTTAGCACGATTGGTCTATGAATGTCACAGCCATTGTCGCTGCTGTCGAAAGTATGCAGCACCGAAGGACAATAGTGATGTCCGAGTGCGATCAGGTCTTAGCTTCTGGTCCGATTTAGGTCTCTCCGAAATTTACATATAAGACTATCAACACTTTGGTCAGAGTTCTGTAGCACCTGGGCCGCATTGGAGACAACAACGACCGCCGTTATTCGAAACTAGTGCCACTATAGTTAACGATGAACAGTCAAATTTGTGTTCCTTCGTCGAATCGCGTATCCCGACGAGCTCGGCTGGGTAGTTCAACATCGCGATGGCTCCAGGCTAAGGCTAAGGTCGGTCTGGGAAATTGGGACTGGCGAGGAAGGGATTTGCCAAGCGGGAGTGGTCTTGACGAGAACCGAAGCAGCTTGTAGTAGGAAAATAGGAAAGTACCAACATTGAATCCAAAAATGCCAACGTGACGTCGCTCGTTTGTCAAAAGGCCCCTACGTCTTATTCGGTCTCCCCACGACAATAGAGAGGGCCGATTGGAGGGAATGGGAAGCCCGAGATGTCTGCCTAGATGTGTCGACTATGACCGCTTAGACCATGGTCACAACCAAGGTCTAACGTCAACGTACAATAGTAGCCGTCGTCTGACATATACAGGGCGCCAAATCCTTTGCTCTAGACAGCGACACGAATCAGAGTCATAGAGAAGCGCCTGGGAGAGCAGGAAAAAGGACGAGGCGGTTTCGACGTCGTTGTCGGCTTATCCCTCTGACTCGTACGGTAAAATGACGGTAGTGTTCTCTAAAGAACGATTGGACAAACCACGATCAAAACAAAAAAAACTCGATCCGGATAATATCAGCTAACCAGTAGGCCATAACACCTTTCATAATTATGATCGCCTCAAGAGCGCTGATACGACATTCAGCTATGACAATAATGATATGTCTCGAGATAGAATGGACCCAGTATACCTCTCGGCTAGCTTATAGCCTGACGATGAAAACGAATTGAGTGACAGAAAGCTATGCCAAGCTGCATTGAGCAATACAACCTTCAAACAATAGAAAAATGAAACCTTATAAGTGAACAATAGTCGTTAGAAACTTTTGTTTGAATAAAAAAGCTTATCTCTGCCCGTAATCCAGGAATTGGTCAACACTGCTATAAATATATCTTCCCTCTTTTCTTGGCAGACGTCTATTTCCGATTTCCTGAAAACTCAAGAAGTCGAAATACCTTGTTGATATGTGCATGACAATCGACTGCTGATTTATCCTATAACGCTATACCTTTGTAGTTACTCTCAAATCAAGGCACGCCGAACCTGGCCGACTTATGGAATTTGGTGTTTTTCTCACTATACTAGATAATTTTTAGGTTTAGGATAATTTTAAGTTCGTGTCGAAAGTTTTTGGTGAGTTGCCGTTTCGTCTGTAGCAGAGATATCTAGAATTCTGCCATGGTAGATACAAATTTATTCAAGAAATTGCATCGATGAGGTGGCCTTAATCTTCTTCAGTATACAAGAAATCTGAAGCCGGTTCGTATGATCGTTTTCGATATTCCCTTCTCGGGCATGCTCGTGAAAACAGTGTATCTAGTTTACGTGCCTGTAGCAAGCCCTATCTCATTTTCTACTGCGGCGTCTGAAAATCTACAGCCGCGAAATGGCGTATTGCACTCCGCTACACTATACGTACGTTGACTATGTCCATTTAAATACATGCCCATTTATTTCGAGTAGCTTACCATTGCGAGTGGGTTTATAATAGAGTTGTTCAGGTGATCGATTGTTGTAAGTCGTGACCTGCCTTCTCGATGGTGGGTCGGCAGCGGCATTGTCGCGTAATGGGATGGGGGAGGCCCGATATTGTTGCCAGCTATGTTATGGCCGCCGCCACCGCCGCCGTTGCCGCCACCACTTTGGCCCCCATTGGCCAGATTGCTTAGATTAAGGCTGTTCATCTGCTGATTGAGATAGTTGTTTACATTAAGGTTGTAGTGGTTGTCGAGCATGTTCATATTGAACATATTTACATTGTTTGTCATATTATAATTGCTATTTATCAGGTTAGCATTGGACATAATGTTTAGGTTCGACGAGTTGTTATGATTGCTCTGCGGCTGACGTTCGCCAAGGAGATGTTTGCTATTTATTGTATTGTAGTAACTAATTGTTGCGCCGCCGGTTGGAAGCGATGAAGTTGGACCACGCGGCGTCACGCTGTTTAGCTTCATATTCAAATTGGCGGATCCTGTACCGGCCAACTGAGTACCTCCTCCGGGGTTCGAAGACGAATAATGTTCGCTTCGGATTTGTTTCTCTATTTCATCCTGAGAAATGAAAAAATCAATTTAATACAGAAGTGCAATCCTTTTTAGCAAACTCTGAAGATATAACTTTTTTTTTATGAACAATAAAATAAATCATATTTTAAATATTCTACTAAAAAGAAGTTGGCATATTCTGACGCGTGTAAAAACACTTGAAGATTTACATGTAAAACATTCGAAGATTCTCAAAAAGCGCATTAGGCGAGGGAATCGGGGCTTCAATCTACAATCTCAATGCGGAAGTTAAGTTCGTGTCAATGGTTTGTCGAAAAGAAATAATAATGCGTCGTCACATTGGCTGCATTAAACTTCGACGAGATAGTCGATACGGGTTCAGGTAAAACAAAGACAAGCTCGGACCTTTTTTTACCGTTAAAATGAATTTCATGTTATCTTAAAATCGACTCAAGCTTTAAGCGTGTAAAGTATATTTAGTGTACATTTTTTAAAGTACGTTTAACATTTTGTGCCGTATTGCAACTTCAGCCCGGCTGGGCTCTCCATCCGATTTTGTTGTCCTAAAGTGCCCTTAATGATAGTTCATCTTTGAAGGGTATCAGTTATTCTCTGTTGTTCGTCGAGGATTACCCATCCGATTAGGAAAGAAGGAAGTGCCATCGTTGTAGCGACCTCTCGTAACGCCATCCTGTTACTGTACGCCACAGGCCTGCTCATTCACAGGGAACTTGTTGGAGGGGCTAATGATCGGAAGTAGCCTTAATTGTTTCCTCTTGGTATGTTCGGATGCTGCCAGACACCGATTGTCAACTCAACAAACCGCTATACATTGTCTCTCTAAGAGTTTGTCAATGAAAATCCTTAATCCGTAACACGTAGAAAAAGGATGGCCCCAGCCTGTGACATCTAAATCCCAAAAAATTTTCGCTGTATCGTCGACATTGCCGTGGGATGCATAATTATAATAATAATAATAATAAAAATAACAAGAGCCCATGAAGCGAGATGGCTAACTGCATTGCAATCGACTGGTTCATAGAGCTTCTTCGAGTGCGTTGGTCCTGAGCGAGATTAGTTTTGCGCCACCAGCCCTTAAAGAATAAATATACTAGGCACTTGGGAAACAATGGTAGAATGATGTAGTAAATTGCCATTCATTGTACGCATAAATAATGGCTATTTTCTTTTCGCGCAAGTTATTTTTGGTCAATAAAGTTGCAAAGAAGAAAAATAGACGAGTTTACATTAACTAGTCGTCTCCGTGGTAGCGCAATAAGTAATATGTGTGTCTATTAGACTTCGGGGTTCGAACCCCAGGGTAGACACACGTGCCGGTAGCCTTGCCTGAAGTAATATCCAATGATATAAGTTCTCGACGAAAAACGCGCAAAACATTTCCTTCATATATTACTTGACACATTGCGATCCCTGTATCCATCCCAGGGGATGAACCTTACATTATGGTATGGCTCGCAATCAAGCCGGAAAAAGACAGAACACGAGTCACAACTTTTATTAATGGCCTCTTATGAATAAGTATGTTTGCAAGATCCGTATTTATTTCGGTTTGTACAGTTTAGTACTGCAAAAGTGTCTTGCTTTTATTAAGTTCGCTTGTCTAGTTAGAAACTATGAATTTATCTATTCACTTACGTTCATATGAATGTAGTAGGTACACAAGATCGCGCTATTTTTTATGAATTGTTAAATTTTATGTTTTCTTACTTCTTCTGTCGTACTGGATGATATGCGTATCGTAACTTGAAGTATTAACGATGGGAAATAGATTTCGACCGATTTATTCTATTGATCAACAGAATTAAAAGTTACTGCTTCATTGCTTTTCTGCACTCTGTTCATATTACCCGGTATCAGTATCAGCCGGTGGCAACAATCGTTTTTTTAAGTAACGGCAGAAAACAGAACCGATGCGATTTTGGTGCTATTTATACTCCAAATTTGTCAATTTTTTCCAAAATGACTAAAAAGTATCATACTGGGACCAGTAAGCTTGCTTCATCGGCTAAAGATGTACCTGAATATTGTTTTCTACCCCATAGGAATATTTTTGCGTATATCGAAATCGGTGGCTATATATATATATATATATATATATATATATATATATATATATCATTCAAGGTACATATCTCAATTTTATATTTACAGAATCGTCTTTGTATTGGAGATGCATCCTGTTTGCACTTCGTCATGTATCCCGTAGGCATCTATTATTGTATATATATAAAATGCAATTTTGCACACTCATTTCACTACGTAAATTTCAGCAGATAATTTACTATATATAATACTCAGACAGCTCTTATTGATTCATTTCTATATATATATATATATATATATATAATAACAATAAATATTATTTAATTAAATTACAAAGACAAAGAATTAACTTCGTCCTCTTTATTAAAGGCATCTAAATCAGACATCTAAATTCAAATCTTTCTAGAAAGCTTTAAACAAAAGTATATATTCTTTGGACTTGCTCAGTTCAGACGTCCGTATTTATTCAACATAACTGCCGCCTATCGTGTTTGAATTCGGGATCTAAACCGCTCAACGGCCATTTTCAAGGTACTCTTTCTTTGATGCGCAAATAACCTTTTAGCCGTATGTTAGATAATACTGGTTGGCGTAAACTTGTTAAAGTATCACTTCAATACGCTAGATACAAACAAGTGCTCGGAACTAAATCTCGGACTGAAGGCACGCCAACGTTCTCAAAAAATTCGATACGGCCAGGAGGTCTTAAAAGACTAACCCTTGGAGCTTATCTGGGTGAGCCAATTAGCAACTAATATCCTGATATAAAACAGCCTTAAATATCTTTACACAGAAAATCCTGGTGTGTGGGGACCGGTTTTCTGAATGGCCTTTTTAATCTCTACTCTGCTCTTCAGTTTTGCCTTACCCTGATAAAAAATTAAACATGTATGTTATTTTTATTAAAAGTGGAACGAAAATTGTAATATTAAGGTAAAAAGAAAGTAGAATAATCTTATAAATTTCTTATTTCTTTGAAAAAGTATTTTATGGCTTATTTTCAAAATAAATATTTTAGAAATCATGTTAAATAATCTTATTATAAAGTAAATCAAAGATTTGAAGTCTAATTTTAATTTACAATCAAAATTATTTTAGTTCTAGGACTTTTATCGTAAAATATCTACTTTTTTTTTTAATTAAAAATTTGTAAATTAGAAAAAATTATGCATAGATATCCTTTGGAAATAAAATTTAGAATTTAGATGAAATAGATTAAAACAAAAATTTTTATTGCAAGATCAGGTTTTTCAGAAACTGCATGGAAACGAGCTCGGTAGGAGGTTCGTCTCGCGTAAAAACTATGCATAAACAGCTGATTTGCGCTTGAATTATGACACGACGCACTGTTTCCGCTGTGATGAGATCGTTCTTTCGTTCTTCTAGATATATATATATATATATATATATGGGAAGATGGGGCATATGGGCCAAAATTTGCCTGACACTGTTGAACAAAACCGGTGCCTCTAATTGAGAAAAATTATACCAGTAAATTTTCTAAAGGCCTTTATAGTGTGTGTCCTGAGTATATCAAAATTAATTTGCTGTCAAGAAAACATCGCTTGAACGCACCTATGTCGTTAGTTCATATAGGTTGCAGGTCATATAGGGGTTATATGGGCCACCGATGTTGACCGTGTGCGCTATTAACGATTCCTTGTGAAGAAGTCAATCATTTAACAAAGTTAAAGGGAAAGTAGTTTTTTTTTTAAAAAGCGATGTTATCATGACTAAAATAGACGATGCTTTATAGTAGCTTGCTACCAAGTACAACAGGTGCAATATTATGATCAATCTACCACAGGTCCATATGAAGTTCTGCTGCGTAAAATAAGCCGCACTGAATGGCGTAAGTACTGGCACATCCACGAATTTCAAGAAGTGAAAAGAAACAATAAATGGGCTTCATCCATTGGGACCAAGCCCCACACTCATTAGCCCATGCTTTGTTGGGCCCAATAGTGAGTAAAGAGTATCACACAAACCCTCTTAGAAATTAAATAGTAAAAAATAATCTATTATAGTTATGTATAATTCTGGCACATATAGTCACCTATCGTAAATTCTGATACATAGTCGTGACTGGCTATAATGTGGTGCATATGTCAAGAATATTGTTTTGTCTGAACGATACGTTATAATAACAAGATTTCTTTCACGAACAATCACCTGTGTGATACGTTGTTGACATGTGCTACAACGAATGCAAAGTTACCGTATATACATATATATGTATTTTTATTAAACAGTTAATCTCTGAGGCTGGTTAGTTCATTCAAGTTATCTGTAAAGTTAGCATTGGCATATACACTCGGAACGCAATGGCCTATGCGGTTCCAGCTCGCCTGGTTCATACAATCCTCGCGATCATCATCTAATATAACTCCATATAGTGACTATTATAAAACGTAATTTGTTTTCAGCTTACCTCCGAAAATGTAGCTTTAAAATAAATAATGTTGTGGTAGGAAAGTAAGCTGGGTATTTCACCCGTCTACCCTTGGAAAAAAGTTTGATTAAATGTAGAAAAAATTCTTAACTGTACCATATGGCCCATCCTTTTAAGTTTGGCCAAAAAGGCTCTAGTGACGCGAATTGCATTAAGTTTCGGATATATAAGGGCGTCTAAAAAATTTAGAAGTCATATTGAAATTTTACATCAACGTTTCCTTACTAAAAAATCAGAGTTGCTCAAATAGGTTTTATCCCATGAAGATTTAGTTATATGTATTTCAATATGTTTGTTAATACGCACCACCTTATTCTGATCCTGGCTGTAAGTGTTTTTGTTCTTGTCCACCAGTAAGTAGTGTTTAGCCCCGTGATAGTAATGGCTTTTGTTACCCCCTTCTTGTAAGGGATGTGGCGCGTTGTGGTGGGCGTGCTTTAGACTTGCCTCTGTATGATGAAGCTTTAAACCACCTGAAACAGCATCCCTTTCTCTACCATTGGGATTTAAATGGCCACCTCCACTTAATGACATATGACTAGTTTTGCGCCCATCGAGGTGAGCTGAAACACAGTGACGCATGCAGCAGTACATAATGCTATTGTTAATACTTATGCATATTGTCAATGATAGAAATATATAAGGCTCTCATAGCCAGGCAACTTTATATAGTAATAATGATGATGAGACTACGCATATGGACAGACTATGAAAAAAACCGGCTTACTTCGATCTCGCTGATGAGCAGAACTGTGCTCTCGTGTCTGATGAGTACTGGGACGATACGATGGAGTAGGTGCCGTTGCTCCTCCACCCCATGGCGCCTGTGCTGTGAAGTTGAAGTTGTAGTTCTTGGTCAGCAAAGGGTCGTTTTCAGGGCTCATCTCATCAACACTTGGTCCGAGCTGCAAAAATAGAGAATGTGGAAGGTTTATTAAAAAATTGCTAAAAAGACCTAATTCTGATAAAATATCCAACTTGGTTTAGCTTAGTGCCAACATAAGACCATATCCATGGCATGCTTAGATTTGTCGGGTGTAGCCCGCGTGGAAAGTCAGAAAAAAGAAAGCCCACGCTAAACAGTTAGCGAACCAGCTAATTTTACAGCAGCTGTGTAATATCGCCTATATATATATATATATATATATATATATACATATATATATATATATATACTGTCTCTACTAGAGCCTATTATATACTGGAAGATTTAAATTTAAGCTGTCATCAGAAAAGCCACAAGGCCTCAGCTACGGCCAGGCCAGAACAAGTGGGTCGTGTGAGTTGGAAGGACTTAAAAAGGTCCCTTTCTACCCAGCAGAAGCCATTTTAGCAAATATTCTCTAAGCTGTGCTCACTTTGCCTTTCACGCTGAGTCTTTTCTGTTCTTCTTCGAAACCCACAGCTATTGCGGGGCAAAGCAGCAGTATAAACGCGTGCGTCATGAATAAAAGTAAATCCTCAGAAGGGCGCCAGGTAGGATAAATATTGATATGATCTAGTGCGACTAACACAGAAACACAGCACAGCACAGAGCTAAGGCGAGCGTCATCCACCTTGATCAGTTTATAGCGTTGTTTGTATGGTAAAGCATGATCTTCACTAGACCCGATAAAAATATTTTAAAAGAATACGCTATAGTAAACATGCAGGTATAAATAATATAGTGAGCTGATTGTGTTTCTTAAATTACGGTTCACTACTAACCTCAAACATCTTTACTTGCCTCTCGGTAGACCCATGCAAAGTGTATCATGCTAAGCATGCCAGAAAAATGACTAATATAAATAACGGGCACTAATCATCCGTTCCCTCACTACTAAATAGATTCCATTCGTCGAGCGACGCGCATTTATAACGATTTGCGCCTTTTTTTTAGACACGGCTGGTGCCCTTTTACACGTGTCAGCTTTTCTCTCTACTGAATTAACTATTTCTAACAACCTTTGCTAACACCTTGTCCACTCACTATAGGGGAGTTGCAAACTCTAGAGCGATGGCCCTAGGGGGTTCTCAGACATATATTAATAGCCTTCAGCCTTCTGTAATGCAGATGCTGCGGAATGTCCAGATATAAAATGGGTCGGAAGAAAACGACCTTTGCAAGCGTTACACTATATTTTCTTGTCGAAGACCTAATTCTATAAACATCAAGATAAACAAGAATAATTAAGCTTGCGATCGCGGATACTAGTTACTCTAAGCAAACTCAGGCACCGGATCTACGTAAGAAGCATCCGAAGGCAGAAGCAGTTGACTATGATGTAATTTACTCAAAGACAAACGGAATTAGAACGGCAAACTCGATCCAATTACAATAATGGTCCTATTTGTTAGATTGCAGAAAATTGATTCTCGGGAAAACGTCATATCTTTCAATAATGCCGGATACAAGTAGATTTTTTTTATCGGTATAGGGCCTTTTTTCTTACACTATGGATAGAAGCGCCCTGTGTGGGCTCCACTTATATATGATAATCTCTGTAATTTCACTGATGATTTATTAGTCCCTCTATTCTATGAACAGCCACTACGAAGCTAAAAGAAGGCAGACATTTGTAGGACTGACCTGTCGGAGGACCCGCTGCTGTCGCTTACGATCCTGGAAGCGCGCTAGCTGCTGGGCTCGCGATTTTCTCATGGCGACCCTCTTGCCCAGGTAGCCAACGGCTGCGTACTCCAATAGGGACGCGAATACCTGTAACATATAACGTGGTAACAATATACATGCATTTAGTATAACTTGTCTCATTATCAGTCCGCCAAGATGAACACACTGTTTCTGGCGAGCTTCGACCTTCGACCGAATTCATTGCCGGTGCAGTAATGGTGTCTCAATATTCATTCATATCTGAATCATCTTCCTTATCACAACCGCTATATGAATCCACCGAGAAAAAAAAAAACATCTCTTTATGAAGCACCAAGCTGTAGCCGAAAGAAAAGGATCTCAGCGACGTCAGTGGATTTCCCGGCGGGCCTGCGCTCTAATCCTATAGGAAAGTGAATGGTCCTTATTGACACGTTTCGAGTTTCCTCTTTTCGGCAAAACTGTTGCACGTCGAACACTAGGAGAAAGAGAGCCTCTAGGGAGACGGCGAAATTCCTGCTCGCAGTAACCCGACCTACCGCCATGAATGGAAACCTACGAAAGCAGGGAACCTTCAAGGACACCGCATTTGCTGAGCATTTTCCTGGTTGTAGACAGACACAGGGGAAAAGTTGACAGGCCGACGCGTCAAAGGTGCTTTACACTGAATTCGAATGACGGTCTATAGCGAGCAAAAGAATTGATGCTTGAGATTCATGCAACGCAATCCTTGCAGGCTCTAAAAATAAGGCCGAACAAGACACTAACCCGATTTAATTATGTGTGGCCAGCAGTGTTCACTTATGTACCCTACGAAATCAAGGCATAGAGAAAATATGCAGATTTTGGCTTTCAGTCATCGAATGGCCTGTAGCAATTTAATAAAGGGTAATTGGATTCTCCATCCAAGTGTAACAATTAGGAATGGATGTAAATACACTTCTGTATCGGTTGTGAACTGTGATACTACAGATCTGAAGCAATCTAGTCCTAGATACGTAACGTGTTCTACGTTTAAAACACATGTATGCATCATTTAGGTATATAACGGCAGCCGTAATAACTGATGGTGACTCACGTCATAAAACACCAAAAATGATGAAACAAATAAAAATGTTAAGCCTTCCACATCGATACAATAACACATTTGTGCTGGGTATACTTGTGTATACTTTTTTATAACGTGGTAAGATTTTGATAACTTGGATTCTCAGGATATAAATCCTATGAGTCCTTACCATCGCTCATTGATTTTACAGTCGCGGACTAAATGTCTTTCCAGCGATTAGGCAATGGCAGATGGCAGACGAAAAACTCAGCAGAAATGACTACAGATATTTGATTTCTCGAATGTACATGGACGAACGAGTGCAACAGCGCCTTTTTCGTCTAGAAGATGGTAGATGCAAAAAGTCGACCACATCTGGTGCCAAAATGAGATTGACAGAAGAGGTAGACGTGCTCCATTGGACATTACTTAAAAAAACGATAGAGTTATACTAGCCAACTCAAAGGTCTGAGCAGAAGAGCGTTATACCAGAAAAGAAAAAAATGATTAGGCAAACACTTGTAGACGCTTGTGAAAACGCGTCGCCAATATTGTTCTAAACTGGACACCACCAACCGGTTTACTGGCGGAATGCCGACATTGTGGAGGCTCGTCGTGATGGCAGTAGGTTTCGATGATTTGGATGGCATAAGAAGGAGAAGATGACGTATTTGCTAAAAAAGTACAAATCGGGAGAAGAAAGCGCACAAGCAGGAAGGGAAGACAAAGACCTAAGGTTTGCTTACAAAAAGCTCCGTATCCTGATCAGACGAAGCTAGGCGGCATAGTGGGAAAAATTAATTGGAGGGATGGAACGAGACAAAGCTTGATCATATGAAATCGCCACAAATAAAGTGAAAAAAACGGTTCTGAGGCTACCGATGGGTACGGTCAAGGAGGCTAAGCTATTTCCTAGGTAACTTCTAAAAGAACTAGTATTAACTGTAGTGAACGTTTCAGAAGTTACTGCGGAGAGGAATAAAACAGTGAAACTACGGGTGGCTTAAAGCAATGCACCGGACTCAGACGGTATCCACCTGAAACCATGAAGGTGTTAATAAAGACGTGGCCTGTATTCATTAGAGACATCATACATCAACTTTTCATAGACGGCCGGTTTCCCAACACATGGAAAAATGTGTGTCGACTGTCGTAAGCAAACCTTGAAAAAAGCCAGGCCCATCAGTTTATCACCCAATGTGCCCTCTGAAAAATACAACAACAGTTATGGAAAATGAAGTCATTGCTAGGCTTGATACGGAAATTGAAGAAAGCAAACCTTGTTGAAAACCCAATATTATTTTTACGAACTTTTTTTTTGTAGCTATCAATAGAATTTTAGACAAAAGCGCAACAAGAGAAACAGTAAACGCAAACGATGAGGGAGAACATACTCCTGATTTTCTAGACGTAAAAAACGCTTTCAGTTTCGCCCCCTGCGACGTAGTGACGAGGATGGTTGGGGAAAAGGATCTCTTCATACCTCACAAATGGGGTGTAGAACATCAGCGACGGAAGGCGGGACATCTCGGCAAATGTACCCCAGGAATCTGTACAGGGCTTCACTCTATTGGGTTTCATGCACGATGATGTCCTTGTGCCGGGCCTATTAAAGCGAGCCAAATGTGTATCATACGTCGATGACTTCGCTTTGGTGGGCACCATTTAAAAAAGGACGTCTTGCAGGATGGAGTTGTATCAACCCAAAGGTCTGGATCGAAAAGCGTTACACCAGAGAAAAGTAACGCTGATCGATTAAGCGGAAAAACGAATGCTAAAGAATGAACCTCTGATTGAGCGAGAAACTCGCCAACATTGAGAAGACACTTAAGTATTTAGGAGTGAGCTTCAGCACGAGACTCCGAAAACTGCACATGCAAAATAAGCAGGGTTGCATCTTGCGAGGCCAAGGCCCAGGGTAGAAAGGCTATCGGAAATTTAGAAACGCTTATTAATCAGAGTAGCTAAATCTGCTCTAATATACGCTGCCCTTGTCTAGGTTAACGTGGTCCTCGACCACGAGAGAAACAGACGGACTTCACTTTCCGCACAAACAGCGCTAGCAGTGAGAATAGCCCAAACGTATCGAACAGCCTTCGCGGAAGTTATCATAATGCTTGCCAAAATGCTGCTGTTGGGCCTACTGAGCAAGGAAAGAGCCGCGCGCTACTCTGGAAAGAAGCTTGACTTCGCAACAACACGTAAGACTATAGTGGCAGGAAAAATGGATGCGGGATGCACCTCGAGGTCGACCAGAGGTATGGACACTCAACCTGATTTCGAGCACTATTACACAACTGGTTATACGAAGAACTCATGCGTCACGTGACTCTAGACGAATCACGACTAATTTTAGATAGATATGACGAAAATAGGCAAAACACGGATGTGTGTTTTCTGCGTATATATCAGCATATTATTCTTCACCGCACAGAATTAAATGCGAGGCGGCAAATTTTGGCCCATTACAGGAACTCATAATGTATGATGGCCCAAGCAGTTGGAGAAAGCTTGGCGAAGTCAGGAAAGTTATGCGTCACTGGCTCGGCTTCCCTTCGCAACATCATACGAAAGAAACAGGAACTAGAGTGTGGCAGACGACGACGACGACGACGACGAGTCGAAAGGCATTACGTGGTCCCTGAGGCAAAGCAGACGTAGGCGATACCTTGCCTCCACCCAGGTTTCGAACAAATACGATAAGTCTTGGGTTTTGCAAAAATGCCCTTGAAGAATATCAGTCAGAGGGTAGTCTCTATTTGCCCTACGGCACCTTCAGTAACAAAGAGGACTGAGTGCCCTTGAGTTTAATGACACTTTTACTCAGACCTTACAACGAATCACCCGGGGACATCTGAATACGTCATACAATGCGTCAACAAATTTTTCATACCTTAAAAAACGAGATAATATATAATGTGCCCAGCTTCAATATAAAGCAAAATTCGGTGAAGTAACTACGTGAAGTCACCGAATAGAACATTGGAAGTGCGGTTATAAATAACAAAAGAGACGTCATTGTGCTTGCGGTAAGAATGTCATCTTGAAATGTAATATTTCTTTTTTATTATAAAGCTGTGCTCGACTACAGTACAAAAAGGCATATTTTTAAAAATTGCCATGCATAAAAAAATTCTCAACAATAATAACCTTGCTAATAATTCAACAGAACTACGCTGTCCTGCGACGATAATTTGGCACAGTTTAACGGAGTCACACCAAACATTTTAACGGTACGAACGTAGTCATCTTTGTTGTCAGACCGCAAATTACAAAGCTTGGAAATTTACAATAAAAAAAAGTACCCAGGCGCAGAACTATCCAGGACTGTGTCGACATCCAATAAAAAATAAGTCTGTAAACTAGGTTTATAAAAACAAATAGATAGAGATGAAATAGCTGTAGTATTTGTCATAACCTCACATAACTGTTAGAGATCTGTGTTTGGCATTAATGATATCCCAACTTCTTCTAAAACTTCCACATATATTTTTTATTCTGTTGTTTTTTCGGGAGGCGACGATTCGTAGCGATCTGATTGATATATTATTCATCTCGATAAAGGGCAGTATCAAGTCCTGTCGCAAATAACTGAAGGTACTCAGGAAGTCAAACCCCATTGCACATTATGTGTCCTAGGTCTAATATCTCTTTTGTCCTTCTTTAGGACATTCTATTTGTTGGATTTCCTCGGAGGAAAAGTACGAAAAGACATCGTTAGAAAGGCGTGAATAGACCGTTTAATGACAGAGGCGTATTTCCACGACCCCCCCCCCCCTTCACTTCACCCTGTATACTGTAATAAGTCATTTTGGATGGTTGTGGCCTTCATGAGGCAAAACCAGGGAGACGATGCCACAATTGAGTTCTATTCTTGAACCCGTCACTCGTATTAGGCAGTAGAGTTTAAAATGATATGTAGAATGCCAGTTAACTACGTAGCATATAAAAGTCGTGCAGATTCTTTTTCACAACCTGAATGAGCAGAGAAGGTTCTTCAAGTAAAGATGCTCTATCCTGTAAGTAAAGGATTCGACTGTTCTCCCTACGTATCTATGATTCCATCTGTGGAACCGTTCTTCTAGGAAATAGTTTCTTGGAAAAGAAGTGTCAAATGTTACGCCGTATGCCTAATATCGTGATGCATGCGTGAACCTGAAATGCTCCTACAGTTACATATTTGAGTGGAATATAAAATATCTTTCAGTAGTTTAATCTGTGATTTTAAGGCGTGTATTATTATAAACGTGACTTTTTTAGGCAAATATGTACCTTCATTTTTATCAACAGAAAAACAGTTTTGCTTTCATTCTGAAAAAAACGATCAGGATATTTTTCGCCGACCCAGTTTTCTAGTATTCCTAACCGCTACTGAGAAAGTCGGATGAAGTTTTGACACCACATGGCTTGAAAATAGCTATTTAAAGAGCGCTGAATACACAAGACAGTAGACGCTTCAAAAGGTGACACATGATTGAACTGAAGCAATTATGTACCTTTTGAAACATAAATTTTATAAGTTATAAGAACTTGATCTATGAAAGGTTTTTTTCTCTGCAGGGAGGATGTCCATAGCGTATATATATTAGGGACATTAACATATTATACACACACACATACCTGTTATTAGTTAGTATATATATATATATATATATGAATGAGTAGTTTCAGACTGCCATGCGACTTTTGCTTGACCCTATATACCGAAATGTCAGACAACATTTTGGCAGCATGAAAATATCGATTCCCTTCCTTTACGCGGAGCTAAAAGAGTAATTGTAACCGTGAAAAGTAACTGCGTTTTGGTTCGATCAGTGATCGTTATATAGGTCCAGTAATAGGCGAGAGGATACAAATGGATGCCGGAGGATGGTAAGATATACTACCATCTTTTGCGTAATACAAATAACATTAAATACTTTGTGTACAGCGTGCATTTCTGATCATAGGCAAAACAATGAGGTGAACTGTGTAAGGATACCGCTTATATAAGACCTTGAAGCACCGAAGCAAATGCAATATTTGTAGTTAGAGTTTCTAAAAAGTTGAGTGCTTTTTTCAAGTACCTTAAGTTAAGATTAGACAATTAAATTAGCGTTAGTTAAAATTAGCGAACTCGGAGAGCCTATCTTGCTCATTTGATTATTGAGTTGCTTCTTGCTTAAGCGTTGGTAAGATCTGGCTAAGAAGGAACTTCGAAATTTCAAACCGTCCGTATGATGTTCCAATTACGTTTTTCAAAGGACTCTTCAGAAACAAACAGCAAGATAAATGTGAATTTAAGAGGGACAGAAAAGTAAAATTGAGCAAAGAGTAAATGGAGCTTAAAGAATCCTGTTACGTGAAACGAATGGGAAGTGGGGGGGGGGGGGGGTGATAAATTGGCTGCTTTTAAGTAAGCCGCCGCCCCCCTTGTGGGTAGAAACAAGGGAGGAAGATAACAAAGAAGGAGTTCTTATGTATAGGGATCAGTAAACCTTATGAAAAATTTCAGTGCTATTTTAAATCGGTTCAAACTTTCCATCATTCTAAACCCCCTGTTGGGTTTTCGCTGTGCACGTACGAGGTCTCCAATGATGAAACGGGGCCAAGTTAAATTGGGAAAACAAAATAGTTTTTTTGACGTTGGCATTTGTATCCTGCGGCGGTAGCCCCACGTAATCACGACGAAGATGACGACGATGCCGCAAAATTCACAGCAGTGAGAAAGAATAGCTCCTATCCGAGCATTTTAAGTAAAAGCGGACAGCAGACGAACTACAAATACGACAGACGTCTCATACAAGAACACATATCGACCTCAAAGAATAACTGCGTTGCCCTCCCTTGTATGCGACCTTTGCATGGCGCTTCTTGTTCTTCTTCTACTTCGCCCCACCCCGCTCGCGAAAAAAAGAGCACGCAAGATACGCGAATTAAATTCTGCCTCAACAGAAACCATTCGGAAAGGCTAGCGAAGGTTGAGCAGGCACGGATTTCCGTCAGAAGAGTAGCACTCTCAATGCCTAGTCAACGAGGCCAACTTGAGAGTACGTATATTGTTATGCATGCATGAGATATTTTTAGGGCCCGGAAGGCAGATGTCCAGTGAGAAATTGATTATATTCGAAAAATGGCCACCAGCTTTTATGCACAGGAAGTGCGACATGCTTGGTAAAAGGAAGGCTTCAGCTTTCCGGTCCTTGCCTCGGTAATGCGTCTTGCGTATCCTAAACTAATCCCTGAAGTATTGAAACCTTGAAGGCTCACCAGACATTGGAACACAGATCAGCTGCAAGCGTGTTTTTACTTCGATTTTTTCTCCGTTCTCACTTTCAAGCGACTTCCGCCCTACACTGTGCCCCCAGACTCGCCTGCTCAGGACACTATCTACAGGCAAAAGATTTACAAGCTTTTTCTTTGAACTCCTTCCTTTCTTTTCTATTCCGCACGTGTCTGGGGCCGGCAAATGATGCGCCAACGAGAGGCCTTCAGCGATACATTACTGATGTGAAAATTGTTGCCTGATGACTATTTTTTTTAGACGAAGTGTAGCCACATCGCTGAATTTATACGTATTCCGAAACTTAGCAGATATTTTCGTTGAACTTTGTTGTTTCGCCTAAAATCGAAACTTGACGGTTTTTAGGTAAGGCCTAATACAGGCGTAACATGTCCATAAACGTGACAAAACAAAGCAAAATTTTATGTAAGGTTTCACAGCGAAACAAGCGGAGAATCGAAAGGCCGGTAAGGCAAAGTATCCAGGGTCAATCTAATGTACCCTAGATGATTACGTAGATCAACAAAACAGCATAGACCTTCTGCTAGCATTGAGCCGTAGCGACAGCGTACTCATTGTTTATTATCATTATGATGAGTTTCGTTAAGGTCTTTCGAGTGCCGACAGTGAAAAGTAGAGAAGAGCGTCTTATTAGAGCAACGAGTCTGCATAACATATACTGTTGATTTTTGTTTTCGGTCTTTAAATTATGGCTAAAAGCATTGGGGTGCAGTTTTACGTTAAACGCTATCGCAAATTGCTCTAAGGTATTCAATGTTTCATCCATGAAATCGTTCTAAGGTGAAAGATTTCGTAGCTAAAAGTCAATTGCCGAGCCAACCAAAGTGTAGTAATATAATTTATTTAAAATGTGCTTTATTTGACAAAAAACAGCCAAACATACATTGTAACCATTATGCGTGCGTGTCAATGGGTAAATAGCACACGCTCAAATGTGCCCAATGCGATAGCGTTATGGACTTCTATTTCGAAACTAATCGGCCATAGATCTAATAATTCGGACTCATCTAGCGTGTCAAGCGAGTTTTTGCCTAAATTTAAAATCAATTAACTAACCATGACAAAGCAGGTTCCCAGGTAGACGTCGATAGATTTGACGTAAGAGATTTTAGGCAGCTGTGAGTTCGTGCTTGACATAAGAGTGGTCATCGTGAGGACTGTCATTACACCGAGCGCTACACGAGCTGGAGTTGCATTTCGGTGCAACCAAAATGATACCTGAAATCAATAGCGAAAACTGTTCTAGTGATACAAACTGCTATTGATTTCGTGCATAAAATTACCTATCGTTGTAATCGCGAACATCATGTTGTTAATACTGACTGAGCGGCCGCTATTTGTGGCACCGTTTGTGCCATTCGAAGATAGACACCCAGCATACACAATCAACTTTATCACTCTACCTATCGATATTCCGGGCTTTCCTTGCTTCGCGAGCGGCTGTACTCCAACACGCTTCCGCTTTCCTCACTTTATTTTTTCGATATATACATATACATAATACCTGTAACAACGTAGGCTTAATTGATTTAATCACGATATAGTGATCCATCCTGGTACTATGCGTCAAGAGTGGAAGGCCGTTGAACTTTCCATGCTACTGCTTGTCCTGTGGATACCGGCCAGGTAAGCAAACAGCTCAGAGAAGAGGCCAAAACCTCTGGAAAGAGGTAGAACTGTTACCGAGTCGCTCTGATCTTGTCTAAGCACCGAGGGAGCACATTTCGGAATTATTCCCGCCACGAGCCGACGAAAAAGCGCTCAGAATGAAAATAGCCGAACAGCAGCAGCAGCAGCGCCAGCGTCAGCGGCAGCGGCGTCGGTACAATTGGACATCCGCTAACAAAGATATTTTCATATATTGAACGGCGATGGATTTCAGAACGCAGAGGCTTAGAAAGACTATCGAGGCGAAGAGGCGAGATATGAGGAAAGGGATCGATTTGTAACTGAACTGGAAATGGGACATAAATGTAAAAGTAAAAAAGAACAGTCAGTCATTCATCGAGCATCAACGGTTTTTTCGTTCAAAGAGTACCAACACGGGTGGATGGCTAGGTTGGTCTAGAGTAAACTTCAATTGAGCTCCAATTTTTCCCTATCGCAGCTGCTGAGTGACATGTTACGGATAACACTCAATCAGTCTGTTGGTATTCAGCCGAAGTTGCCTAATTAACGTGGTACATGTATAAACCTGCCAGATGAAGACCCGTGAAATACAAGCACCACGTAAATTGAAGCTTTACATGTCTCAAAGGATAGGCAAACATCATACGGCACTATAGGTCCATCGCCGCTCTGTCCGCACTCATTATAAGCAGCAACCTACAAGTACATAGATTTGATTTCTAGTCTCAAATATTTTAAGCCATACTGTAATTATTGTTATTTTCGAATCGAAAATTTCGCCCTTAGATAATCTCACGTATTCAGAGATTTTGCCCTCGCTACACCATTAAACAAATCGTTTTAATTCATAGACGTGCAACGCTTTGAGAGATGTATTTATTTGTCCCTAACTACGATTGTTAGTATACGCAAATCATGGGAGAGGCACAAGGTTTACTTTCGTAATACGAGCGCAGAGCTGCTAGTAGCCAATAACTAAATGCCAATAAATAAATAAATAAATCTTAGTCCAGATAGTAGATTTTCTTGATTTCCCGAAAGAAACTACACACGGCAATGCAAATTGTTATATAACTGCTAAAGAAGCAGAATACACCGTCCTGTTTAATAGAAAGAAATACGCTCTAGTAGCTGTCGTAGAGTCTAGCACGCTCCGATGCAAACGAAATGTGCCCTTCATCTACCAGAAGTTCCCCTCCTTATAAGAATGTGCTTCCAGTGGTCGGACCCATAATCAGCTAGCCCGGCTTAGGTTCGAGTTCGAGCGCAGGCATTCTCAAACTCTACAATAAAGAACCCAAGCAGTGAGAAAAGCGATAGATATTGTAATATATTCTGCTTCAAGGTCCCTCCGATTTAATATCGAGTTCTTTCCTTGATAGGATTTAGAAGCTAGAAGACGCTACTGAGGCCTGTTGGAGAAAGGACGGCAGTTGAGTATTATATACAAAAACCAATATGACGGAAAATACATGACAAGAAAAAACTAGGGCACCACAATTACCTACACATGCATTTTTGCGAATTCTGGTATTTTGGTACTCGCTCTTGAGGCGAAACGTTACGTCGCTGGGTTTGCAAACGTTCAGACTATTGACAAAGAGCTCAAACTGGAATCTTATACCAGCAAAAGTAGGCAAAGTGCTTCTGAGGTCGGTAGACCATACGAATGTAGCATTCAGAATCCTCTAAAGAATGGAGCAAAAATTCTCAGGTCCTTAACATATCATTGGCCTGAGATGCCTAATAACTTTCTGGCTTCCGAATCTTTTTTGGACACTACTATGTGGCTTAGATATATTCAAAAGGTATTTATTGTATGCATGTATAATATATTGTAGGAACCACCGTTTGGTGGCCTTTGGGCCAGAAGATGTCCTCATAGCGAGCACAGTTGAATTTTCAGCCGGTATGAATACCCTAAGTGGTGCCCAATGAGGAAAACTACACACTATTTTCCAGAAGGTGTAACCACAAAAAAGAAATCAGTGCGTGTTATACGAATTGCGGCTATGCCACCATAGGTTTTTCAGTAAGATCAAATGCGGATAGTAACATGGGCCTATTTTTGATTTGCTGTAGACCGCCGTCAGCATGTCACTACAAAGCACCGTCGTCTCGCACTGCTGACAGAACGGCGTGTATCCCAGTAATGCGTCGAGGACTATTCACCGTGCTATATTCACTTCTTATGAAGCTTCTCCACGTGCCGACCGCGGCAACACAAAGGACTAAACGAGTTGAACCGGTTAAAAACACCTATAAGTAAAAGGCCGGTGTGAAATACAAGAGATGTATCCGGAAATATGTTGAACAGCTAAATGATACATACCCATGAAATTACAACGATGAGTCCAGCTGGAACGTAGATTTGAATGAGGTAATAACCCATTGAACGGACGAAGCGAATCTCACAGATGAGCCGTGAGTAGTTGCCTGTCGACAGAGAGATCTCAGAAGCTTTCTGTACATGGCCCTGAATTTTGAACTGGGGCAATTGTACTTCCTCTGAGATGCCCACGCTTTTCTCACCGTCGCGCCACGAATACCGAATATCACTCATTGTATATCCAACTGTAGTAAGCGTAAAAAGCAATAGAGGGCAGTACTGTTGTTAGTAGGCTTAACTTAAGCGTATTTATCGTTACTCGATTACGTATTGCGCTCACTATTAAATTTTCCCTATTGTTAATTAATCATTTTAGTTAACACAACAGATTTTGGTCTGCTACTTATTATTAGGTTCTGCAAGTTACAACCATTAAGTTGAGTTTTTGAAGTATGTTCCAGTAATGAAAACCAATTCATTACGTCTACAAGATTGAATACGAAATGGCATTTTGACTCATCAATGAAACCAGCGATATATTGTAATATATTAGGAACTTGCTTAAACATATAGACTCAATATAATTAAGCCCAGAATTTGCCCACAGGATTTTTTTGAAAGTGTTGAAAAATATCTATTTAGCTGTAAATAAAGCTTAATTATTTGAATGTTCTTAAAGCGTCTTTTTGCAGCAAATCATCATTAAAGAAAGCTTATAGTAGTGCTAAACAAACTATTATTGAATGCTTAATTTCTTTTCGCATTGTTACCCCATCTCGCTATCTAATAAAGGAAATTTTTCTATAGCAGTAAGCGGCTTTCAGGTGAACAAGCAATATAAGAGCCATCTATTATTTCGAAATAAGTCAGAAAAGGATTTATTTCCGTGTGTTTGATTGCAACCGCTTGCAGCTTACGTTCTTATGACGGTCATAAGCTTGAGCCTTGCAGAAGCCTAAACGTTGTAGAAAGAGCGTCTAGCAAGAGGAAATTCAATATTTGGCACCAACATATGACTCACATAGTATAGAAGTTCCAGTCGTTCCACTAAGCCTTCTAGTGGCGCTGCTTGGAACAGACGATATCAGATCATAAGATACTACGTTGTTTTTGAGCTGTACTTAATGCAAGTATATAAAGCCCAAAAATGCATGTTATTCAGAAAATAAACCCATAAACAACGGCCAGTACACGAAAGTACACCAATACACAAACAGCCAAGGAGAAAATGCTTAAGATTTTGACTGCTGGTTTATAGAATATCTGTCAATCCGTTAGCATCCTATGTTTGTTTTCCAAGAACATTACTTTCTTGCTGTAGTCTTATAACACAGCGGAAATATACGAACGGATAATCTTCCGGCGATGATCGTAGAACGCCGGGTGCGGTCCGAAGGTAGTATAGAACCGAGTAAATTTTCCTTAAGTAAGTGCGTAAAAGAAACATAAATAATAGGAAACTTTCTTGACTCAAATTTTCCTCACATCCATAGCAATTCAATAATCATCTAGTTTAATCATTATTTAAGATAAGTTTTTTTTTCAAGATCTTTTATCGAAAAGGACGAGCGGTTTCCTAATAAACCGACCAATATAGAATAATACAGCTGCCATGTATAGTATGCCTACAATAGAAAAGTATGTATTTGTACATCAGCCCTATTAAGTGATAAGTACTGTTTATCAGAGAGCAGATGACGTACGATCGATGTTGGAATATAAAATCCAATCAAACATGAATCTTAAGGTGACTTTGCCTAAGGCCATGGCCTACGAAAGCATCGTGCGTAGAGTTCAGTACATTTATTTATTAGATCAGCTTTAATAAGCGTACTATAAGGACGTTACGGATTCTGCGAATTCAAGCGAAGCCAATTTAGGTTTAATTTAGGACTATCATTAAGTAACCCTGATCACAAACCCTATTCCTGCCCCAATAAAATCCCCCAAGCCTATGGTTACAAAAAACCTGCGCGACCAGAATCCAGAACAGAAATTGCGCAAAATTTTATCTTAACCTTGTAGAGAAACAATCGTATCATTGGAAAAAAATCTATAATCAATGGTATTAATTCATCTTCAGGTATGGTTTTCATACTATATGTCTATATTGGTATAGCGTTGCACAAAGCGGACTTTAAAATACTTAGATGCAATATTTCAAGTAGTTTAGGCGGAGAACCAGGCTCTTTCTGCTTGCGAAAAACTTGCATATGATGTTTTTATATACATCTGTTTTTGTTATTTAGCTATAATTATTAGCAGCAACAGTGTCAAAGTACCCGGTTCAGCTCAGGTGGAGCTTCCGCATCGTTCAGCGCAAGGTGTAGCTTTTATAGTAGAATGACTGTTAAGTTGTGCACCTGTGCCCTGAACATACATCTTCTAACTGCGTCATACCGTAGGAGCAGAATAAAAATTTTGCTACCACATTCAAAATATACTTAAATCGGCCTTAGTTATGGCCTATTTGGTGGTGGATATTACAAAAGCCAAAAGGAATTTTGCAGGACCCTGTATGTATGTATGTATGTATGTAGACTGTCCTGAAATCACTCTAGTTCATAGAAAGCCTTTTATGTATCCCAGATCGTAATGTAAGATGCTTAATTGACATCTACTAGGTTCTCTGGAATTGCTTAGCGAGATAGAAAAACTGAATTAATCCATATATAAGAAAAGAATTACGATATTCGTGAGTCAGATGTACTGCCGTTTACTGTTGCGCTCTGGCAGACTCTTATCAGTTGTGTATTGCATTATCATACCTAATCTTGTTATCGACGGCTTGTTTGAGGGACTCGCGTTTTTGAAAGCAATCGAAGTGGACTGTACCGTTAACGTTGCTCTCCCCTGTGTCGAAGCGATTCGCTTATGATCCTCCTTCTGCACAGACTGATTAAAACAACTTTTCTTTTTTTGGTGATAATAGTTACGCAAATCATCTCTAGAACGTGTCATTGCGAAGGGATCTGTTGCCGATTCAATTCCCGATCTTTTTTTGTTTGTGTTACAATTTCATAACCCGTGATCCAAAGGATTCCATAGCGAGCGCATTGTCCATACAGTGTTTCGCTCAAAAACGTCCCCGATTAAGGTAGCTCCTCTTTGGCGTTTGAGGTGTAGTTGCCTCATTTGTAATCTTTGCGACGGCGCTATTGTTTCTTTTTTGTTCTTATAATGCTTACACTCGTACTGAACTGCTATTTCACTTTTGCCGCCTTCAACAGACTCCACTGATGCTCCCCTCTTCAAAGAGCAGACGCCTAATCACTAAGGGTTCATTTTTAGCATAAAGTGAAGTCTCTCGCGCTCTCTTTCTCTATTAAATGCATCACTATCTGAAAATATTCAACTAGCTTATAATCGTAGATGGCCAACAATACAGTGCAAAATTCTATGTACTTTTGCAGTGTAGTTTAACAATGGTTCGACATTTTGGATTCTCTGGTCAAGTTGAGACAGAATATGTCCGTACTTAACTGAGGAAAAAGAATCGTACAGAGGACTTGAGTATTTTTTTTTTTTTATTAAATTGGGTTAATCGGTAATTTGTGTCTAAGCCTCCTTTAATCATTTGATAATTTGGGTGATATGAAGCTCATGAAGTGTTGAACTAAGCGGACACAATTTGCTTTTCCGTTATGCACGACTTATAACAAAATTAAATCGTTTCGAGGACTACTGCATACCGCAATGAGAGTATCTCTGTTTTATGAACTTTTCTTTTTTCGTACTGCTATCGGTTCGAGGCTCCGGTAGTAATAGTGGTGAACTAGGAACCTCGTAACTGAGGGTAGTTTGAGAGAACTACCAAATAGAGACATTTCTACTATTAGCCACAAACACTTTAGATAGGACTACCCCATATGCGACTAGTCGCCTACTAAGAACTACCAATAAGTTTTGAAACAGCGGTTCGTAAAAGTAACACCAAGACTTGCGATCAACCTCATTCTTATAAAAATAACTATGAAACCTGCACGTATTGACACCCCCCACCCCCCGCATCACTTTTCCGATCAGTACGAAGGCACCAATTGATTGAGTTCATTTACTTCTAACGACTATGGATACAGGCCAAAACGTCCAGCACGAGTTTCGGGTACAAGTGGGCCTTCTTTATCAATCCTTGGTTAGAAATAAGGACGATTGTGTAAGCATTTTGTGTATTCATAGTACTAAGCCCGCCTGTATGTGTGTGCTACAAAAATAGATTATTCAGAAATAGCCGTCATTTTTACGTTCACTCAATTCTTCATGTATTAAGTAATCTTAATACGATGCATACTTGTCATAATATATAAAGATAAGGCGCGTAATCAGTCCACTAGTGAGTCTAGATACGTTACACGAGGGCAAAATGGAACTTGGAACCCAAGTCTTACATCATCAGATGGACTTACAGGATCTCATGATATGGTAATATGTATACTGAATAGCAAACCGCGAAATCTTGTGGAGGCTGGTACAATAAAGCTGCTTCTACCTGACACTAATTGCGACGCCCATCATAAAGGTCTCTGGGTCTATTTGCGCTACCCCATTCCTTTAGCATACAATAAACTCAACGTACGTCTGTCCATAAGAGAGACGGATCGTTATCTCAAAATGCTGCCGAAGCAATAACGTATCCGAGAGTGGATAAAACAGTCCATTGCACGCGGCGCTGCGGTCCCCAAAAATAGACCGGCTTGACATGATCTAGCTTTTCCAGTCAAGCCAGCTACTCCCAAATAAACGCAACATTATATAAGACCTAAAGGCGTCTTTATATCAAGAAGGGCAAAGCGTTTTCCGTGACCCAACAGAGGCTGTCATTGCGTTTATTATTCGATTTCGGATGCGTTTCATCAAATGTCAGCTGTTTATAGTAACAGCAAAGGGTAAGAGATCGCGATGGGTTTTTCGAGTGTGCCATCTAGCAACGTCTGATGGCGGTTGCATTTGCTGCCTAACTAGAGTTAAGAGTTACAAAACAATGTTTGCTACTTTCGTTTGGTAATGAACGCCCGTCAGGTACAGTGGAAGCTCATGAATATAGGAGCGTACGATGTGTACGAAATGTTAAGTTTAATTGAAGAACGAGCTTATTTACACATAAGGAAGTGTGTTGAACATAAAAAATAAGCTTATGTAGCACATACTCTGAACATTAATCAAAAGAAAGCACGCAATGATGCCGCGTTCCCGAAACCGTGTGCACGCCCGCCATGTATAGCTCTTGCTCTCAACTTAATTTCATATAATACAGACTATTTCCTTCAATTTAGCTATTACGAGACCGGATTCCGTATGCTCATACGAGATTTTTTTACATTTCGGGAACAATGTATAACAAGATGCGATCTTTGCAAAGATAGAGAGTTAGCAACATTCAGTACCGCCGAAATATCGATGGCGAGGGTATCATGCTAACTTTCGACCATTTTGAAGACATATGCAGAAGTACGAAGACGTCGAAAACGTCGAATAGTGAGAAACATATCTTTATATGCTTATCTTGGGTGCTGTTGCTCTAGAAGCATTATTAGCCCTTAACAGATGGATGGAAGTGAAAATCTCTGAGCCCGAATTCTTTTGTCAGTTACTCTGGTATTCATTGCATCTACCACGATTCAATGCAAATTTTGCAGAGAGGTATCTACGCAGATAATGATTTTCCTGAAATACCCGATAGATATTTCGGATTCGATAGACAAAACCTGATTAGTGCGTCGACTTCCCACGCCGCTTATGGGGCTGTTTGGTAATTATCAGAGTTTCCTTGAGTATAATGTATTGGGAAGAACTGCAATTAACTCTGGGTCAGAGTGCATCCCCGCAAACAAGGTAACATCAAAACTGCGCGAACCAATAGATCTAAATAAGTCATTAGCTGATCTGTCATAGTTGCGTGTCTGTCCAAGAGACCCGAAACTTAAAAGTTGTCCCTATTAGAAATACCGAACTTGACTGCTCCATTTAGTTAGTTTTTAGGTCGAGATCTGTCCTAACCGTATGCTTCACTCGCCTTCGCTTTGTGCTCTTTTACAGAGGAAAGCATGCGCATCGTTATGATTATCGAACAGATAATAATAAAAACGATTAGGGGGTGTTTTATAAGCAAAGTAAGTTTTAGAAGTAAATCAATAGGACGAACGAGTGGGTATTCTAAAATCTTTCAGCTATAATGAATGCAAGGTAAATAATCTGGCTTATCAATGATAATCAGTTTTCCTAATTATCGGGATTTCAACTCCGTCGTTGAGATTATTGCACAACAAAGACAATAATGTATTATATACATATAGTGTTCGCGTATGTTTGCAGTGACCCGAAGATATCAAACTGATCACCGTAATTGAACGACCTTTCAGTAGCATTATATAATTACTGATTATAATAGAGTAACCCTTATAGCGAAAAAACTATCTCTTGACAGTTAGTTTCCTACTGTGGACCTAAACTGCGGGTATAAATTATATCGATACTTAAAGCTGGTCTATAGCAAATAGCTACTTACAACTTTCTATTTCGATGGTACAGCTTTGTCGATCCATGGGAAAGTATCGGAGATCCATGGGACAGCTGGCCGTTACCGTTAACCTAAAATAAGATCATCAAGCAAAAATGTCAGACTTAACTAGCTAGCCCAGATGAATGCTTTAATCACCCTAAGCTAAAACAAAGCAGACGAATTATGCAGATCGTCGTAATCCGTAAATCAACGAGGGGTGGCAAGTCCCGTTAGGAAATGGCACGATATCAGATAGGACGTACTGTACAATCCGAGCACATACAAGGACAGACATGGAGCCACATCACCACGCATAAAGTTCGCCGTGAGCTAAATATATTGACGTGGCAGTTACGATGTCTACTAGCGAAGGGTAACGGGGGCAATAGTAGCCATTATGTATCGATAGTTAAAATTTCAAGATTGCCAACTTTCATCTCTGGCAAGTTTGACTTTTTGATGCTAAAGTGAAACAGATATTTTGCGCGAGGTGATCCACCGCGATCGTTAAAGAAAATTTAAAACAACGTAGTGAAAGACGATTTATTTAAAATATAATAACAGTGTGTCGGGTATCGTAGCGTATCTAAAAAGCAAAAGAAGTCTTTGGGCGTTCGTCTGATATATGAACCAATGTATCAAGCTGAGATTAAGGGCATTAAGTAAAATGGCCGACACACGGAATTATCTGAGGGTACAAAGAAAGTATGTTTGCAGGTCTTCGGGATGTCTTCAAGTGACTTCAGGCATTGTAAAGCTATAACTTTGAGGTACTGCTTATAGCGAGTATCCTGCTTGAAACTCACACCTCTTTATACCATACGTGAATGGCGTAATAAAGATTTGCGTAGAGAACAAGTCATTAAAGAGCTACGAACATTTGGTTAATCACTACTAATGCAGCTGAAGTAAATCCGTGGCAATATAATATTATCTAATGGTGTTTCTCCAACTGTTGCTTACCTAATGCTTCTGTAAACATCTCCATCAGATCCGATACGGAGGAAAGTGTTGGGTGTCGTGGCAATATGAAAGTAGGCCGTTTTCTCATTGGCGAAAAAGGTGTCTGGTACCCAAATCTTGCCTGCGACTTCTGCGCCTACGGTCATCTGACTCAGCTCGTTCGTTTCCGGGAACGAGAGCCGTTCGTCTCGCCATGACTGACGAAAGTAGAAATCCGACGTGAAATCCTAAAAAGGAAGGAGGTCGATTTCGGGTTACGGGCAATGCACGTCGGTCAACGATATTCTACGTACTGAGCACTTTGCGTCACTGAGAAGTTTCCAGAGAATTTTTTCCAGTCCGGAATTAACTGACGCAGTGAAAAATATAACCAAGCGTTCGTTCTGTTCTCTACGACTTGGAGGGCGCTTATCCTTTTTTCTAGGGTATAAACTTCCCTATTTCCTTCAAACCGCAAGCGAGGCCCACAGATGGTCGGGTTTGTCAAGATATCGCTTGCTGCGTAGGGCAACGGCCAGGATGAAGCTAGCGTCATCATCTATTTCTTGATTTGGGCTTGAATCAGACCCACGACAGGTAACTCATATTGTGCAGGCTTATAGGCGCAGGTTTCATCTTTTAACCCGACCCTTTTTTTCTTCACAGTTTTTGTTGCGGTCATATGTAGGCAGATAGCATAGGTCACACTAAACGTATTACAAACATTGGCTTCTTCCAGTCCCATTTTTATAAAAGAAGGGAGCGAGAAGAACTCATGGTCAGGGCTAGGTCTATCCACTTTAGATATCCGATAAAAGTCTCCTGGCCAAGATTAAACGTTGCTGATCCAGTTTGTAAACGAGCTGCTCTCAGATTATGATTTCCGAAGGGATCAAAATAGACAGCAATCAAATAATTCGAAAAAACATCTTTTTCCACCTTTGTCTGAGCGCTTTCATCGCCCGTTTATCTTCAGTCTTCCCAGGCTCCACACAAGGCTCCACACATGATTTCGCTGAAATAAAGCTTGATGTCGCAGCGAAAAGAGAGGCATTCGCATATATAAGAGTCCTCTAACGTGTATGTATCTACTTCTTCTACGTACTTTTTTGTGCATTTCTATTACAGTTAGAGACCTGCTATTCAGGCTATCTTCAGGGCACAGCCGTAGCGGCTCCATGAATGCGCAGTTTCTCAAAAACGAGCAACAGCAGCAGAAAAGGAAGAAGAAGGACCAACTGCAGCAGCAACATGTGCACGAGACCCCCTACCTCAGCAACCGATCTGACCTCTACATATCATCATCACAGTAAGGGAAACCTCGTTGCCCCTCGCTCTCCATCGTCACAGTTACCTTCGCGTACTCTTTCTCGTAGCCTAGTTGCCTGTATATACTAAGGTTCTCATATTTGCTAGATTACCTGCGCTGATCCTCAACTGAGATGGTTACCTTTGTTCCGATCATATCATCCCGTTCACTTTTTATAGAAGACCATCGAGCGATAGTTCGTTAATGCGGGTTTATTAGATCGAATACATAAATAGATTAGAGAAACTATCAGGCCCTGAGTTTTGTTCCTGCAGTTTCCGTACAAGCTGAAATGAAACGGTCGTCCCCCATTCCCCCCTATTACCATTTGAACTTCGGAGACGGCGCTGATACTGACGATCTGCATGCTGACGCCTACTTTTACTGGGGGACCTGCAATGCAAGAAAAAATAAAGTGAGCGACGACAATATAATTATTGACCGTGATGCATAATATTGATCTCGTACGTAAAATGGAGGCATACATGTAACAAATCGTACTAAAGAATTGACCTCCATAATCAACAAATGTCAAAGTACGTATTTTCATAATTTTAACTGTACGTGTTGATCCAAAAAAAAACATGTAGCTTCTCAGTATAATAGATTCAAAATAATGGCTTCTGATGCACACCTTTACAGCGTAATCCGAGCTCCTATAATATCTTAGTTTGAGTATATTTAACTTTTTTTTACGACACGAGCGTTTTCACCTATATGGAGTTCCAAAGCCTTCTCGAAATTGGCTACAAGCTCCAACTAAAGTTAGTTTTAAACGATGGAGTAAGTTAACCGCCTAACTGTTGGCCATGCGAAAGTAAATCGTCCACATATTCTCATAAGAGTGAGGTGCAAAAGCAGGCAAGATATGAAGGCCAAAGTACGCGATTCCTTGGCATTACCACCATTTGTCTTATAAAAGATTAAGCAAGTTCACTTTATGAGTTGGAATTAGCGTCAATCCCTCACACTTGAGCTCACAAGACTCATAAAATTTCACAAAAGCATTCTGTGTCTCGTACGGACGCGTGGGACTACACAATTCTTCCTACATTCCCATCTTTAGCATCAGTTTCCAGTTCCCCGTGTCTCTGTTCAGAGATAGTTTTGCTTCTTCTAAAAAAACGTGGGGCTACTTCTTAAGATGTTGTTTAGTCAGTCGGCTGCTATTATTACGATGTTTTCCCTTCACGATACTTGCGTATAGAGGCGTTACTTTTTCTTCCTGTTCAGCTGTGCTCTGCCAGAAGCGTTAGTGTCAGTAGCCATACAATGCTTAAAAGTTTTCCTTTTTCAGCCCGCAGCACAATAGGCAAAACCTCGCACTGGAAAGTGGCTTTTAGAGGCATTCAGACCGTTCCCACTGCTGAGAATATTCGCAACTATTCTAGACGGCGCTAGCCCGTTCAACTTCCCCCGATGATATAGAAGTATAAGGCGATCGTGACACCAGCAACAGTATCAACATCAACGATATCAAGATGAGCCTGAACCAAAGTTAATACCTGACGCTCGACTCGCTGCAAGGTGCTTTACTCTCCTCTTCTAACGGCCGGCTTCTCATTAGCATTACATCAGAAAAGCAGCGGATAAAGGTGTCAGGATGCTTGCAATAAAGATTATATAAATGTTGCCAGAAGCTATGCTAAAGCTTCTGTTTCCCTCGAAGCTGCCGTTTCGCGAAGTTGGAACAGATGACCTCAGGACTTTGACGTTCTGCGCATCGTATGTGGTTTTTAATAGGTACTATTTAACCTTTCCACACACGGAGTCTTGTGGTCGATCGTGTCATTCATAGACCATCGTTGTGGTAGCACACACAAAACTACCCTTCAGCAACAGCATTATCATCCTTCGACATAAAAACGCGAGTTTTAGAAACAGGGGAAGTCTATATCGGCTTTGTCATATATATATATATATATATATATATATATATACATACAAAATGGCGTACCCAAATCCAAACAAAGAAGGTGTTTCTGAGGTTGTATTTAAGTACCCCGAACAAAATTCCTTGCAGAAATTAACGGCCGGCTAGAAAAAAGAATGTTAATGGCTAATTGGTTCTTTATCTGAATGGAAGTCCAACAGTTAGTCTTTTTGAGACTCGTTGCGCCTTTATGTATCAGACCCCAAGCTTTTTAGCCGTTTTAAGAACTTGCATCTTTGGAACTTGCTATCAGTGTCAAATTTAATTTGACCGAAATATATTTTATATGGCTCATTTAAGCGACGCTTCACTGTTTTCACCTACCGATATCGCGTGACGCTTAGTGTTATCAAACTATCGGCGGATTAAAGAACCAATTATATGAAAATAACCGGTTAGTAGTTTAGGTCCCTAATCAAACCGTAATGCCGGTGAATGGTATTTTTATTATGCAAACGTGACCGTTAGGAATGACACTTCTATAACACCTGCAGAGAACAACGTCGTAATCTCGTATTTTAAAATCGTATATAAGTCAGAGCTTTATAAACAACAACAGCGAAAAAGTGCGTGTTTAGATATCTTACAAACTATATATATATATATATATATATATATATATATATATACGTAGATACTGTACAGAATAAATTTGATACCGCCCTTCAACATCATATACTGTGTTTATCTAGCTAGACCACTTAGCTTAGTGAGTAATACAAACTAGGTTTCGTGATGGCTGGGACCTAGCTGTCTGATGGAACTATGCTTAATGGCAACACCGGACGTAGAACTTGAAGCATACAAGTTAGATCACATCGACTGAGACTTTTCAACTAACGTGTGAAAGTATTCCCAGTCAAGCATAATTTTTTCATTGAACCACTGCAAACCGTTGTAGTGCTAGCTAATTAGTAAAGCTATTAAAATTAATTGTCATCGCATTACTTCTCACCGACCCAGCTTATTGCCTAGGGTTATAGTAGATTGTAGTGTTAAAAAAGAACTGCTTGAGTGACACCGTTAGGTAAAAAATCCGCTTATATTACATAAATATTCTACCACAAACGAAAGCCTTTATATGTCGAAAGATGTGACGGAACAATTTGTATGAAGATAACATTGTGCAGGGTTTCGTCTTTATGAGTGAATGTGATGGGCTTTGGTATTCATTTCATGCTGTGGTTATACAGTAACCCGAACTTCCGTCCCCTCGACCCGTTCGTCTGCATAACATGGTGCCGTTCCTACGTGTTAGCGGGATCCGTAGTCGAGGTGATTCGACTTTGCGAGCTTGGTCAGAGGAAACTGACGCAAATCATCGGGGGTCGACCACGCTAAGCTGATGGACCTCGCGAATATGGGACCAGCTAGCGGTAACGCTAAGTATGATATGTGTCTCACTTCATTCCCAGCTCGGTGATCAGTCGTTCCTACAAATTAGCTATCTCGTAAACGTACATCCAGTACGACCGTCTCTGCGAAACCAACGTCACATGGAGTCTAACATCTTCAAGGGAGAAAACACTTTGCAATACTTGAAATGTAGCCGGTCCAGAATAGTTTTGCAAAATTCGCAAGTTGGACTAATTTTTTTTCATTGGAATTCAGGACGCTTCGAAGCGCCAGCGTTCCATTTGTAAGTAACCCACAAAGAGTGCTGCCGTTCAAAGGGTCGACATTGCGAGCTCGAACTGTACCTTCGATCGGCAATTAGCCCAGCTCTCATATTTTAGCTTATATTTAATTAACTGTGGAATAACATGAACTTGCAAGATCCATCACCAGAAAAGTATCCACGTTGTGCATCTTCTGTCTAGCTTTACACAGTACAAGAAACAGCTCCAATTTCTTTCTTTGTCAGTCAACCGCGCAAATATTAACTTTGGGACAACGTACTAGTTTACGAGGAATACCTTAGCTTGCTACAGTCTATTAAGTTTTCGTAGAGACGAGATTTTGTCCAATAATGGAAAGGAGCTTGGAAAGTACGCAGTGTGTTGACTTTTACCAACAAGTCGTCTACAGGAAGATTTGAAGCCTTACTAATAACCATCGTAAGACCCTTTGGCCATATTTCATTTACTCGACCCGATCTACAGCGGACTGATAAATCGTACACGCCCTTTTTAGAGAGAGAGAAAAAAAGCGAGAGATCCACACACACACAAACACAGGCGCACACTAGCACGCACCCAGAAAGAAAGAGGTTGGTCTTCCTTTTGTATTTGGTATTGAGTTTGACATAAGTTCCTTGTATAAAGTAGTAGTCGTTTTAGATTTCTCAAATTCTCTTAAAATAAAAGAGGCCAGATGTCCGCAATTGTAATCACCATAGATAAAAACAGAAACTGAATTATTGGAAAGGCAAATAGGTGAACGATCAGGCTTTTTTCACTAATTCTACCGTTACTAATCTGCAAAATAACTTGCGTTTGGAAAAGAGTACATCAAAAGAGGTGTAGCAATTTTTCTAGCTTAGGTTATCTGCCGCGATGGCTAGGCCTAGGAGCTTTCATGGACTGGCGCTAATATCCTAGCTATTTGTTGCATACCTTTTATGAACTGCAAATAGGGTATTTGCCAGGCCCGACTCAACAAGGTTTTAAAATGAGAATTACTTGATTATACTTGACCATGTGGTCGAAAGGCTAACGTAGTCATCGAACATTCGAAGCACAAAACCGTGTCTCATATTCTATTCATATTTAGCACTTCTGTGCGTGAATATCAGGATTTCAGCGATCGCAGGTAGCCAACTCATCTCGTTTTCGTGGTAACGTGATGAGAAACGCATTCACGTAACGAGCGCCAATGAAGCACGTAACGTATACAAGAACTACCACAGGCCGTCAACTCGGCCTTTCAGCGGTGGTTAAAAGCGAGTGATAAAAAAAAAAAGCATCGCAAACGGAGAAATCGTTCGGTTCCTGTATCTAAAAGTTTTAGTGTGATTTCAAAAGTTCATAATTACCATGGAATTATTAGAAAGTGTTTTAAAAATAAAAATATGCTCGCACGGTCACTTACCTCCGTAATTGGGTCTGACTCGCTTATCGTAGCCTTTCGTAAAGAACGAGTTGAGTATATGCGTGATATTCTGACCGCGCTCAGTTTGCCTGTGAACGAAAACCATATTATCCAGGTCATAATACAGTACTATATATGCATGATTAGTTTACCTTTATGGTTTTAATGACCAGAGCTTACCAACAAGTGTCCATTCCCTTTGTTTATTTTAATTAAAAGAAGAAACTAAGAAATGCAGAAGTATCTTATCTATAATATTTCAGAAAATGACACAGCACTTGACTATACTTCAGTATATTGCAAAGTTTATCTCAGCAATTTTAGTAATCTACTTTTTTACGAGTAGATCAGAGCCAGTTGGCACCAAAGCGATTATTAAGATAAGATTTACTAAGATAAACTTCACAGAGTTGCACTACTGAAACGTCTGAATTAAAAATGTCGAATCAAGGGAAAGTTGACGAAGTTAACTAGCTTAATGGGCTGTGATACAAGGAGCTTGAAATTGAAAACTAGGGCAATTTTGTTAGTAAAAAAAGGACGTGTGATATCATACGGACCTTACTCGTGTAGGACAATGCTCATAATCTTCATATGGCGTCTATTCAAAATGTAAACAATAACTGCATTGAGCAGATGATACAACGCCGCAGAAATAAGATGCTCGTCATATTACGCACCTATGACGTATACGCTTATAACTCTTACTAAAATTCTCACTTAAACTATGTTTTTTTCTCGCTCGATCGGTGCTTCTGAGCCCCGGTCCTACAACAAGGCCCAGTGTCATTATTTGGGTGAAAATGAATAAAAAGAGGCTATTGAACGATGTTGTCCTCCGTCATCAATTCAGTAGTTTAAAACTTATTCTATTATAGAGATAAAATTACTCTATATACTGTACGTTCTAATAATTGCAAGAACTAGGCTTACATTCAGATGGACAGGTGACCGCCTTAGGTAGATCCCATGTTATACAAATAGTAACTGTATATACATATGGTTATTTCGGGTTGGTACCGAACATAGTGGCAGTATGTAAATGTTTATAAGATTCTCTAAGAAATCTACCAAGGACCCAATAGCACCCAACTTCAGGAGTTGATACGGTGTGTGGGTTTAATTCTAATTGTGCCGTATTCGGAGGCCACGTCAAGGCGAATGGTCGTGAGCTGGAGGGCATCTGTAATTCTTGACTCAGCTACTTTTTCATGCACATAAAATAACGAGATGAGAATACTGGAGATAACCTCAGCTACCGTATCTGTCGGCTTGAAGTGACTGAATAAGAGGGCTGACTCTTGCTTGGGAGGTTTGTAATGATCTAATAGCGATAAACCCTTTATAGGAAATGGAGTATGGACCTATTTAGAATTTGTTACGAATAGCAGATCTAACGGTATTCCAACGTAATTATAGAATGAGCCTAAATTACGAATTCAAATCAATTGAAAAAAAAATCGTTGAGTCTTCCCTAAAGCTTAAGCCCAAAAACTTTATATAGGTGAATTCAGTGTTTCTACTGTGATTTCATTGTGTTTTTTTCTTAATACGCCTATGTGCGGCATTTCTTCATGTAGAAATGTCATTACATGTAAAAATGTTCGACGTGAATGTTTCACGTGAAAATATATGATCGTAGTAGTAAAAATATCATCAGAGCTTAGAATCGACCGGCATTAACTTATAACCCCAGAGTTCACAGGAATAATCAATGAGAAAACGTTTCTCTCATTTTGCTGCGCTTCCAAATACGAATTGTTGGCTGGTTCTCGTTCCCATAATATAGTGATATGGTTATATTATTATGACAAAAAATATGGAAAATTTCGGAATTTCCAAAATGAGATAAGACATCTAATCTGCGTGCGATTTCACCTTACATATTAAACCTTATTAAGAACTTATTAAACTTGTGCAGTATTTCAACTGCGTCCATTAGTTTTGCTGCAAGTTTTTGAGTTTATGTCAGGATCAGGTATTTCGAGAAAGCCACGGATGCGGTTAGCGCCGTAACAATAATACCGGAAAATGAGGTTCCGTAGCTATAGCAGAGGGTTAGTTATACCTGTGGCTCGCAAGAGTTGACACAGCTTCAAACAGGACCCGGACGATTGTAAGTGGACGAATGAGGTCTTCTGCGGGCTATCCGGCCATATTTGAGACCGTACGTTCATTAAATCTAAGGCCTTCGATGACTGGCTGTCTATCACACGTGCTCCGACAGACATCAGCTTTGAAATATGTAGCATTAATAAGGGCCAATATGCGGTCTCTAACTTCAAATGCATGTAACCTACTTCACTGGATGGGAAACATATTTCATAAAAGGGTGTAAATTTAGCTCGTGAGCAATATACAGGCAAGTGGAATGTTGTCCAGCCCAACTATCATCAAAATGACATCCGCCATTTTGCTTTAGACAAGTGGTTCATTCACGCACCTGTGCGATTCAGATAAATCTGTAATTAAACCAAAAACCAAATACTACGGGTTTAACGTATGTTCGCAAATACCTAATATAGAGCAGTGCCGGGCGATTTTGGCGAACGTCTATAAAGGAGCGCTTACAGTTTTATGTTATTTACTTGAAAATACATATGTAAAATGTTTGCGTACCAGTGAGCAGGCCATCAGACTTTTATTATAAGCTAACAATGCGAGTGCATGGAACGCTGCTTGTGGTACGACACTGCTATTATCATGGTCTACATAGGTTTTCTATCGCGGAGAAAAGGAAGCCGCGTGGTGGCCTGACTGGTAGCCGACCTATGCTGTATGCCTAGTTGGGAAAAAAGAGGCTCCTCATTTTCCCGTTCGAAGTTCTAAGGTAAACCTCAGGTTCCCCTGTATTGCCATCGCTGTTATGGCCCTATGACGGTCATCTGGCGTCCGCTGCTGCTTCCATTGGCGTCGCTGGGTCGCATCTGATAACAACGAGCCGACCACGCGGTCATACGACGTTTAGGAAAAAAGCAGGAAACACAACAACGTCTTCCTCCAAAAATGACATTAGCATGACTTTAATAATGCGGCAGCGCCGTTTACGGAACTGCGAGCGTCTCTGATCACGTCGTAATTGCGCAGCTGTCCTATTCGAGCTTACGTCAACGACTAAAGTGAATTACTTAAATTGAAAACTAATTAATAATAATATATTAATTTAATAGCTATTTGGCATCATGAACATCAATCAAGTTTAACATTCGGTCAGTACTTGGCACATCATGCACAAAAACACATTATGGTTGTATGTAAGATATCAAACATTTGATTTTCAAGAAAGCGGGACTTCTGACACCGCATAAGGTTAGTGAATTTAACTATTTTCGCATGTAAGCATCACGAGCAAGCTAAGATTCAATATATGTATATTTCAATAAAGCGATTCTTAATTTGGCATTCAGAATAAAAAGTTTATCTTTCCGGTGAGTTTCATCTGTCTGTTTTGAGGTAAAGCAGACTCGGATTTTTGTCTCCTTGGCAACAGAAATCGCTCCAAGTTTTGCCTTGACGTCTGAATGACTTAAATCTTCCTCAGCTCGCAATTGTTCGGCATGTTCTATTCAACAGTCATTTGAGCTGCGTTAGGTAACAAACCAGCTCGGAACAGCTTTTTCTTAAGTAAAATAGCTTACCGAATAGTGTCTGCTGAATGTTTTGTCTGCTAATTTGAAGGGGGAAGATTCCCCAATAAAATTCTATTGCTAAATGACATTCATTTTCAAAGAGAGTCATTCTTAAATAGGATTTAAAAACGTGACTCCTGATGTAAAGCATTTGTTTTTCTTTGAGGCATAGTACTACTATAGCTCATCGGGTCCTTTAAAATTTCTATAAATCTATATAATATATATAAATACTACGCAATAAATTTAGCTATCCATAAGTGATGGCTACTAAGTTACTAGATGGAATCTTTCATATTTTTATTATGTTGTCGCTGATTCTTAAGGTGAGCCGACGCACAATATCTACTCCCATGTAAACACGTATATATTGGTTAAAGTAAGTTAAAGACTTTCAGAAGCGTAGTTCTCTATGACTGAAATATTCGGTGTCACATGAAAACACACTATACGCTCTAAGAACTAGGAAATATTTAAAAACCATCTTCATCACTACGAGAGCAACAATCGATTACATAGGATCACTGAGAAATTTCTTCTTCCTTACGGATATTATGGCCCTTTTTTATGTTAACGTAAAAGCGCACTTCCGCCACGTAGTTTTTACAGCTGATTTTTATTACTGATTCTCGATCTCTAGAAACTTTAAACGGGTTATTCAACGGGTGGGTCGGTCCACAAGACAGATCAACTTTTCGGTAAGAAATCCAACTTCAGTTATAAAAGTAGAAGAAAATTATCGCTTCTAGGGGCAAATACATTTTACACATTTTAATCTTAAAACATCTAGTCAAATATTACTAAAACGACGAAAACGACTTCAAGCCCCTGATGACTGAAATGTATTTTATAAATAATAATAATAATAATAATAGGAATTAAACACGTCCACTTTTGTGGACAGCATATTTCCTATAGCAAAAGTGTATCGCATGCTCGTGCAGACGACACCCGTTCGTGTTTTTGATGTCTATTTTATCTATCTATTCTATAAAAAAAAAAAAAAAAGTGGACAAGAACCGAGTAAGTCGCCTAAATGTTTTTTTTGGCAAAGTCGATGCCCAATGTGGGAATTACTTAAAATGGTCTAGCACGTTCTGAAGTATGACGCGCAATATTACCTCTCCGAGAGTTAGCTTCCGAGATTTGTGACCCACCCTTTACTATGTTCTTTCGTGTCACTCAATTCATTGCGGATTCAATTCGCAATGAATCCGCTGTTACTGCGACTGCCGAATGGCTAATAGAGGTAGCAGTTGCTATTGAGGAGCTTCAGAGAACCTAACGATAAAGGCTTTAGCGTTATTCAACTGAATTAAGATAGCCTACCGAAGTCGCAGACGTCACAGGATTTGCATTCCAACCAAGTTCTACTGGTAGTGAGTACGGCAATCGCTAATTAATATACGCAGTAAAAGAGAAAAGGAAACCGGGATACTAATGCCGTTGCGCACACTTGG